TTCGCTTTGTTGCCTGAGACTCTAAAATACAAATGTACATTTTAAGATCTACAATGTTTTAATTATGTGTAGGTGTGTATGTGTGTTTGTATGTTCATGGGTCTCATGCACGCATGAGTGCAGGTGCCCGCAGAGGCCAGAGACATCAGATCCCCTGGTGCTGGAGTCAGAGACGGTTTGTCAGCTGTTTGATGGAGATGCTAGGAACTGAACTCAGGCCCTCTGAAAGAGCAGCAATTACTCTTAACTGCTGAGTCATCTCCTCAGCCTCTAAACGTACATAATTGAAAGTGGATGACTAGACAAAACAAGCTGTACACCCATGAGTCACAGCCGAAGTGAACGATATTGAATGAGGGACGGCTCCTTCCTAGCCCCTCCCTCCCTCCCACGAGGGAGTGCACAGTGACTTTGTAATCACCCCCTCACCTTTCTTTACACTTCTTTTCACGTGGTAATGCATTTAGTTTTACTTGTTTACGAACTTTGATTAAATGGTTCACATAATGTATTAATATATATTTGGCTCTTTTTGCTCAACATCACGGCCGTGTGATTCGCCCAGATCAGGCAGCGGGAGATCTTTCCTTCTCGCTGCACAATATTCCATTTTGTGGATGTCACAAGTCATTAATATACCTGTTTGGGCCCTGGGTTTTCTCTTTGTAGTTTTCAACACATTCTAGGATTAAGCCCTTCATCAGTTAGACATGCTTCCATTGGCTTCTCCCAAAATGTCACTTGTATCCCTTGGTCAGTAGGCATTCCTGATGGCATTTAATGTTTTACAGTTTTCATTTATGGTTAGTGTTCTTTGTGTCTTGTTGGCGGAAAACTTTTCTAGCCTGAGCATACAAACACTTTTCATGGCTGAGGGTTAGGTATAGCTGGGTTAGAGTGCTTATCTTTGCACAGAATGAAAAACTTGACCCCCAACACCTCAAAGAACAACTTTGGGTCATATCATAAAGTGATTTGCTTTTCCTTTGCATATTTATGTTTTAATTCACAGAGAGTTTTTATTTATGATCTAGGGATCAAAATTCATTTCTTCCAAAGTAGACACCCAATTGTTCCATTCATTAAAAGTTTCACTGTTCCCCTACTGGTCTAGAATCTTTTCTTGATCACTGATTCTATGTCTACATGTGAGCGTTATCTGAGACCACCTATTTACCTAGGCTTGAACGATATTGCACCACCTGGATTAATGTACCTTTATGTCTCATTCCATACACATTGAAGAACTAATTTGTCGTCAGACGGTGGTGGCGCACACCTTTAATCCCAGCACTCGGGAGGCAGAGGCAGGCGGATCTCTGGGAGTTGGAGACCAGCAGAGTGAGTTCCAGAACAGATTCCAAAGCGACACAGAGAAACCTTGTCTCGTAAAAACAAATAATGCACCCACAAATGGATTTACATTGAATTTACAAAATAGTTCGGAGCAGTGGTTCTCAACCTGTTGCTCAACCCATTCACAGGGACCACATAGCAGCTGTCCTGTCTATCATATCCTGCATTACAATTCATAACAGTAGCACAGTTACAGTTATGAAGTAACAACAAAATAACGTTCTGGCTGGGAGTCAGCACAACACAAGGAACTCAGTTAAGAGTTGCAGCGTTTAGGAAGGTTAAGGACCACTGGTCAGAGGGCCACGACGGCGTTGCCATCCTGATTCTTCCAATGAATATGTGAATCTGTTTCAGTCTTTCAAGTTCTTCAATTAGGTTTTGTAATTTTTCCAAAAAGATATTGCCCTTAGTTGCTAAGTTCTAAGCTGTTTATGAATTGTTTATTAAAATTTTCTGTGTTGTCTGACTATAAAACCCTATCTTTCTGGTGTTTGTGATGGGACTGGGGTTCGCACCTGTTAAGCATTCTACCACTAAACTAGAGTCCCAGCCCAATCCAAAAAGACTTTTAAATATAGATTTTTGTATACAGAATTTTTTTTCCATTAATCAATCATCCTAAACTCTTTCACAGACTATTTTGGCTTTTCCGCATACATAATGGTATAACCTACAAATAATGATAATTCTCTTCCTTGTTTCCAACATTTAAATATTTTCTTCTTCATAAGCTGTTAGACATTTATTTATGGGGGCCATGTCTCACAGCATGTGTGTGGAGATCTCTCATTATACCATGTGGATCTCAGGGATTGAACTCAGGTCATCAGGCTTGGTAGCAGTACCTTTAACCACTGAGCCATCTCGCTGGCCCCTACATGTGTTTTGTTCATGCCTCATTGTGCTGGTCCTTGAGTACAATGCTGACTATAAATGACAGCAGTAGCCTTACTGCAGCTCCAGTGTCAGATTCTATTTGACATTTCAGCTGAAGTATGCAGTCCATTGAAAATTTTTCTAGATAAAGCTTTCTGCCAAGAAAATTCATTTGGCAGTTTTGCTAAGATTTGAAAAAAAAATCATAAATAAATGTTTAATTTTATCTAACTCTAAATATTGACACAATTGTAACTTTTCTTTTTTTATTTTGTGTATAGGTGTTTGCCTGAACGTGCACAATGTGTGTGCCTGGTGAAGGCCAGAAGAGGATTGGATCCCCTAGAACTAGTATTTACAGATGGTTGTGAGTCAGCAGATGTGTGCTGGGGATTGAACCCGGGTCCTCTGAAAGAGCACCACATGCTGCTGAGCCATCTCTCCAGTTCCTGTGGTTTTCCTCCTTTAATGTGCTAATGAGGGTATCTGTGTTATTTCAAATATTAAAATACATGATATATTAGAAATAAATCCAACTTGGTCTTTCTCTTTTTTCCCCAAGTTTTTTGAGACAGTGTTTTGCTCTATAGCCAAGATTGGTCTTGAACACATTCTGTAGCAGAGGCTGGCCTCAAAGTTGCAATCCTCCTGCTTCGACCTTCAGAAAGCTGGGGATTGAAGCATATATCACCATGCCAGGCTCAATTTGCTCACTTTAGACTTTTTTAAAAATATATTGGACTTAGTAAGCATTTGATTTAGAATATTTTTGTCTATATTCATGAGATGGTTTGTTGCTATTCATTTTCAGTTCATCAGATTCTTAAAATATTACGATTCTATCAGCCCCATTAGATGATCTGAGCGTGTACTCCTTTTCTACACCACGGAATCACTGTTGGAAAAGTGGAGTTATTTGTTACTTGGGTTTTAAAATAGCAAAACCATCTGGGCCCAGAGTTTCTGTGAGGAAAACTTCTGTTTCTTCAATGGTTATAGAACTACTTAAAGTTTTCTGCTCCTTTTGGGGACACATTTCATAAATTATACATTGATAGTAATTTGTCTTTTTTTCAAACATTTTGGCATAAGGAACACTTTCAAACAATCCTAAAATTATCAAATCAAAGTCAGGCATGCAATCCTAGTACCTGGGAGGCTGAGGCAGAAGGATGGACAAATCAAGACCAGCCTGGGACTACAAAGCAAGAGCTAGTCTCAAAAAAAAAATCACATCAAAAGAAAGTCATAGATATCTGGACTGTGACCGCTGGTGATATGCCAACTTGACATACAAACTAGAATCATCTGAAAGGAGGGGGCATCAGCTGAGAAAAGTCCTCCATATGCTCCAGCTGTAAGGCATTTTATTAATTAGTGATTGATGGGAGAGGACCCAGCCCATTGTGGGTGGTTCCATCACTAGCCTGGTGGTCCGAGGTACTATAAAAAAGCAGGCTGTATATAAAAAGGGGGAGCAAGGCAGTAGGCCGCACTGCTCTGAGGCCTCTGCATCAGCTCCCGTCCCCAGGCGCCTGCCCTATCTGAGTTCCTGACTTCCCTCAGTGACTGTACTGTGGAACTGTAAGCTGAAATAAACCCTTTCCTCCGCAAGTTGTTTGTCGTCATGCTGCTGGGTGTTGAGTCTACAGCATTAATTACCATGTCTGACCTCAAGAAGGTATTTTGACTTCTCAAATACCAATGTCTGTGTCTTAGACTCAACACCCAGGAGGCTGAAGCAGGGGGATCACTATTCAAGACCAAGTTGGGCTACAGAGAAGCTGTATAAAAAATAATAATGCTTGAAACCCAGGTGTGTTGAATTTCTCACTCGCTGGTTTCTGCTTTCATGCCACAAGGCTATTCCTTCTGACTGGTCCTCCTCTCCCCTTCACTCTTTGCCAGACTCTTCCTCACTTTGGGGAACTCAGGCCAGACATCAAATCCTCCAAGATTTCCAGCCCATAATACTTAACACTGTTAGCGCACTGAGCACACTGCTCAGAGACTTCTTATCTGTGCCTCTCGCCACCACAGGACTGCAAGATCTTCACTTGGTGGCCACAGAGCAGAGATGCTCAGTCAGTCACTACTTGCGTAGCTAAGCTGAAACTGTAACCACGGTTGTCTGTATTTCTTTATATACATGTCTGTTCCTTCAATGGTCATTTCCTAGGCAGACATACTTGATGGGCACTATTCTAGACTAGCCAGTGGGTAGTGGGAAAACTAAGAGCGTGTGGCATCCTGGAAACTAAGTGAAGAAAAGGCTGGGAATAAGATTAACACCCGTCAGATGCTGCCGGGAATCTATGTAAGATGAGATCTGGGACTTAACTGTTGCTGGAACAGCAGCAGCAATTTTTAAATTGCTGGGGGAAAAATACAGGTTGGGGCTATTTGAGAAAGGCATGGGGTGTTAGCAGAATAGAAAAGAATAGAGAAATATCTGGGGCGTAACTGTTGCTATAACAGCAGTGCCACTTTTTAAATTGCTGGGGAAAAAATACAGATTGGGGTTGTTTCAGAAAGACACAGGGGTATTGGCGGAATACAAAAGAATGGAGAAAACTGTTAAAATAATTCTTTTAAAAAGGTTTGTTGTACCACTAGGCGTATATGCTGACACACATCTGTAACCTCGCTGCTAGGAGGCTGCATCAGCAGAACAGTGAGCTCCCAGCCAGTCTGAGACCCTGCTAAATAAATAAATAAATCACCAAAACAATTACCACTTTTAAAAGGTTTGCTGTAAAGGGAAGTAAATAAATATATTGTGTTTTATTTTGCTGTGCCAAGAGTTTTTATTTGCATGCAATAAATGTATCTAACCTTTCTATTAAAGCTTCTTAGTTTCCTGTTTGGAGCAGGAATGCAATGTCTGTGGACAGCAAATCTGATACAAATTTTTCACAGTACATTAATTCCTTTCTGGGGCCTTCCCCATTTGGGGGCTTGAGGGGTCTCCCTGCTGGTGTCAAAAGCTTTTATTTTTCAGTAACCTCAAAACTTTGTGGCTAATCCATGTCTCCACATTAACAGATGACCACAGTCACCACTGCAGACATGTGACTAACACCAAAACTTCATGTGGTCAACACTCTTCTTCTTGGCTCCCACCACAACCGCCCATATACAGAGACACAGGCTCCCACAGACAAGATATGCACGACCAAAGGACCACATATATTAGGACCACAAGGCAAAGAGATACAGATCCTCAAGAACACATTGAGGAGGCAGCAGTAGGCATGGCCATGGCCATCTCCACTCCCACCATGGACCATGCTAATTCCCCAGAATGTGACCACCTTACACACTCAGGCCCAAACAGGAGACCAGCACAGCAAGACACATCATTTCTCATAGAGCTCTATTGTGGCATAGAATAATAATAGGTACTCTATATAAATTAAATTAAAAATAAAGCTCCAGCAGGTTGCACAGATTGGCTGTTAATAAATATATCTCTGGGTAATTGTGCCCCAAGACCAGCTCATGACCACTCTCCCTCATCCAGAGAATTATACAAAAATAAATACAGGCTCGGGGGTGGGGGGGCATGCCTGGTTCATTCTAAAATTTCTCACACGATCCGCCATTCCTTCCACTGCTCAAGCTCTACTGCGGGGAGCCTGGCGCTGACTACAGAGGGCTCAGAGCTGGGAAGGCCTCTCTCCTCTCAAGCACTCTCAAAACCAAAGGACCCAAGTCCCTCACTACACAGGCTACATCTCACCTCCTCGGGGTGACAGAGGGACTGCAAATCTCCAGACCCCGAAGAGGAGGAAATCCGCTGTCACTGACCCTACAGGCCGTCCCTACGAGAACCAGGCCAGAGAGAGGCCCAGCACCAGCACCAGAAGGGACATACCACTGTTCAAAGCCACAGGAACCACAACTAGCCCAGCCAGGACACCCAGAGTTTGAGTCAAGGGCCCCCAAAGCTGAGGAGCCAATCCACACATACATTCTGCAGGGGCAGCTGGCATGGGAGACCTCTCTGGGGACTCAGGGTTTAGGCTTCCACCCTCTTCATCCTGGGAGGTCACATGACGGTTGGCTACAGTAGAAGGACAAACTTCAGTCCCTGGGGGACTAAGAAGAGCAGCGCTATGCTCTGGCAGAGCTGGGGCAGCAGGCTCATTATCAGAAACAGATAGCAAGCTGCCTGTCCACCCAGTAGGAACCTCCATCCGGGCTTCTGTCCCAGCCTCCGCTGGGGACCTGGCCACCCCAACTATGGGCCTATTCATATGCAAAGAGTTGACATCCTTGCCCACCCCTTTCTCTGGATTCTCAGTAAACTGTCCCTGTGTTCCCAGAATCACAGGGCTGTCACATCTGGAGCCCCCAGCCCATGGGAGCCACACATCTCCCACAGAGCGTGCCCCAGAGAGGATTTCTGGAGGTGATTCCTTAGGGCTGTCTCCGTCGGGGCTAGAGGGAGTGATGGAGAGCCCCTCTTCGCCCTCCCCCTCGTCATCAGGGTCCTCAGTGTCCTTGATGAGCTCCACGCCACACCCCAGGCGCGCATAGTGCAGCGTGATCTCCTCGGCCAGGGCACTGTTCAGGGCCCTCTCGGGGCCAGGCCACTTCAAGATCAGGTCACGGTCCGTGAGTATGCCCAGGGAATGGCTGGGGGACGTCCCTCCATCTGTAGCGCCCTCCCCGCCACCCCCTGCTGCCACAGCAGCCCGCAAGCGGCTCAGGTGAGACAGGTAGAGCTGCTCCAACTCCTGGTCAATGGTGTCTTCACCAAGCAGCTCCTCCAACCCACTCACAATCTCCAGACCCCGAGTGGGCTCATCTGTCACAGCCCCCATCGTGGGGGCCTTTCGACTCCCTCCGCTTTCCCACGTGGCCTCCACCTGGTGCTGACTGGGTTCCAGGAAGGGCCCAGTCATTCTATCGCTTGCATCTGGCCCTGAGGCCTGGTCCCTGGGAGGGCCACCCAGGCCACGGGTAGATGGAGGAATCCTGATGGCTGGTGTCTGGAGGACCTCTGTAAAAGCCACAGGTGGGTTGCTTCTGGGGATGTCGCCTTCTTCTTGAGGGTTTCTGGTCACTGTAGCTTCAGAAACCTGTTTACAGTATGTGCACAGGGAGAGAATGGGAATGGAAGTAAAAGAGGGGAGGGAACAAGAAGAGACAGTAAGAACTGGTAACACCCCACACCCAGTCCCTAGAGTTTTCCAGGCAAAAATATGTCCAAGAACCCCCTGTGATTCTCTAGCTGCCAAAGACTTGATCGTGTTCGGGCAAGCACACAGAGACCTCTTCTTGCCGTGACAGTGTGAAGTGAGTCACTGGATATCCGTACTCAGTGAATGACTGTCGGGAGCACATGAATTCATGATGGGTTTTCTCTTTTAAAAATATTTATTTATGGGTTGGTAGGATGGCTTAGTGGTTAAGAGCACTGCCTGCTCTTCCAAAGGTCCTGAGTTTAATTCCCAACAACCACATGGTGGCTCACAGCCATCTGTAATGAGATCTGGTGCCCTCCTGAGGAAGAGACCTGGTCAGTTGTCCTCATCAACTTAGACCCTGAAACCCTATATGGACAAGTTCAACAGAACCGCCATATACGGGATGCCCACACATGCTTCAGCATTGCCAGGGCAGACATTTCAAAATTTCAATTTTAGGATGGGTAACAGCATTTGCTGCCAAATATGATAACCTGAGTTTGATCCCCAGGGCCCCTGTGTTGGAAAGGAAAGAGCCAATCCCTACAAGTTGTACACACACACACACACATGAATGTAATAGAACATTAATATTTACTTCCTAATTGTCTTTTAAAACAATGCTCAGTCTAGTAGCAACAGTCCCGCTGAACCCCATCTGAATCTCCAGACATGGTTCTCCACTGAAAGGAACCCAGGCTTCCTAGTAAGACTGCTTTCTCCAGGTTTGGAGCAGGCAAAGTACAAAACCGTGATATATAATCATAGCAAGATGTGAGAAGAGGTTCCCAGAATAACGGGAAGTGCTAATAAGTACAAAGAGACAGAAAAAAAGACTACTCCTGGCCAGGGATACTTCCATGGAACCATGAAAATAAACAAATGCAGTGCATTCAGAGTCAACAAATAAGTTTTGAATCCATGAATGAATGAATGTGTCATAAGTTTCTTCAGAGAAAAAGTCCAGCCAATAAAAGAAGCAGAATGATAGAATTCAATAGAACTTAATGGAATGAGCTCTGTTTAAGTCAATTTCATAATGCTAGATAACATTGAACAAATATATTTAGCAAAAATAATGGTTTAGTAAATGCAACTTAATAAAACATTAACGTAAATAAGATTAATGAATTAATGAAAATAGAGAAAGAGGGTTATGGTTAGCAAGATGGCTCAGTAGGTAAGGGCATGTGCCACCAAGCCTGACAGTCTGAGTACGATTCCCAGGACCCACACCATAGAAGGAGAGAACTAACTCCTACAAGTTGTCCTTTGACCGTGACACACACACACACACGCTGTGGCATGCACACACCTGTGCACATACATAGATACACACACACAATAAATAAATAGCTGGGTGGTGGTGGCACATGCCTTTAATCCCTGTCTCAAAAAAAAAAGAAGGAATAGGAAAAAATAAAGAAATAAGGAAGAAAGAAAAGAGAGAAAATAGAAAAGAAATTGAAGAAGAAATACAATTTATCACCTTGTTTGGGTCCTGGGAATACACATAAGAAAATTGGATCACTAACCCACTCATTAAGGAAGGAACACTGTTAATTTTCAGAGGTGTGATCATGGCATAATCATTGGGGTTTGTTTTGTTTTACAGTTATTTTTCTGAGAAACAAACTACAGAATTCACAAATTGAATGGTATCTGAATTTTTTCCAAAATCATTCTCTAGGAAATGGGAAGGGAAAGATCTATGCTATAAAGTAGGAATGGGCACATGCCAGTATGTGTCGAAGCTGGGTGATGAGTGTTCGTTATACTAGGCTCTTTACTTCTATATATACTTTTACTTTAAAAGTTTTATAAACAAAAGTTAAAACACACACATTTTAAATGTCTCCTCCTCCCCTGCCAACAGCATCACGGTTCACCAATTTCCTCTTCCCTGGTATCCCTGCTTCTCACCCTCCTCCAACAGGATCTCACAGCAGACCACATTCCTCCTCTGCTCATGACCCTTCTTTGTCTCCTCCTCACTGAGAGTGAAAATGCCTAAATCCTCACCTTGCCTCCCGTGCCCCACCCAGCCTGTCCGCTGCCACCTCCCTGACCTCACTCCTCACCGCTCCACTTTGACCCCCACTTCATTCTACTTTCACAATAGTCTTCTTGCTTTGCTTTGCTTGTTTGTTTTTTTCAAGACAGGATTTCTCTGTGTAGTCCTGGCTGTCCTGGAAGTTACTCTGTAGACCAGGCTGGCCTTGAACTCAGATTCACCAGCCTCTGCTTCCCGATTGCTGCGATTAGAGGCTGTGCCACCTCTGGCTGGCTCAGTCTTATTTCTAGCATACAAGAGTCGAAGCACACCTTAGGAACTTGGCATTTGCCTGGAAGGTTCTTCTCTCGGTTTGTCATGAGGCTCATTCTCTCACCTTTAAATTTCTCTCAAACCTCATTTCTCAGGCCCCTCCCTCCTCCATTCCCCCTTCCATTCCCCCCTCTTGCTCTCCCTCCCTCCATTTTCCCTAAGCAGTCATCTTCACCTCAAATACAATGTATGTAATTTATTATTTCATTATGTCTCTGCCCAATCATGTAATCCCCTTAAGGATGTCATTTGTGTTAAGTTTTCAGTGTCTATAATATGGAACAAGTATTCCCTAACTGTTTGCTAGTTAACAATTAAACCCAATGAATAATTCCAGTCTTCGCTTAACCTCATCAAATTCTGGGATTTGTGATCTCACTCCCACCTCCAACTCCACCTCTAGGATAGACAAGAGTTTGTCAGCTCTACCACTGGGTCCAGTTGTGGTCACACTGGGAGCTATCGATCAGGCTATTCATACCGAGGTTAAAAGGACCTGCTTACCTGAAGTGTCATCTGGGGCCATGGACGGAGAGGGGTGGGGGCCACCAGGGGACCCAGTGACTCTTGAACATCAGGATGTTCTGCCAGAGAGAAGAGAAGGGCAAGGTTGAAGCAAGACAGGTATACAAGCAGTCTCATCCTGTTCATCTAGGAAACCAACTGGAAGTATGCACTGGAAGCTTTGTGTGGCAGTCCGAGGAAGGTGACCTTTTCTTTTTTATAGAAAGAAACAAGGAGGAAAGAAATAGTAAACGGCCACTAGAAAGGTTAGGTGACATAGCTCCGTAACAGAGCATTTGCCTAGCACACACGGACCCTGGGTTCCACCCCTAGCACCATGAAAAAATAGTTACAGTATGAAAATGGAGCAGAACTCCCAAAGCCTGGCAGATGCTTACCCCCAAGGGTATTGTCCTCCATGGTCTTCATCCTCAGCTCCTCCTCAAGAGGCCTGTAGGGCAGATGAGACAGCACATAAATCTGACACCCTGAGAGGACAGTTCTGCCACCTATGGGCACTTTCTGTGCCTCTGTGGTGACTCACCCTCACCTAACAGCTATTTTCTCTTCTGCTACTTTTTAAACCCTTGACCGTAAGAGTCCTATACACTCACTGTAGAAATTTTACAAAATACAGAAAAACATAAGGATGCCTGAAACAAAACAATCACGTGAGCCAGAGGCAAGCACTGTTACTATTTGGAAATTTTCATTCCAGACATTCCCTGAAACCATTTAGATTCTGCGAAAATGCTTTCACAGCTGGCTTTGTCCATTAAACAGTGAGAAACATCATTATCGACTTTCGCAAACATTGAAAAATGGCAGCTTTATGCTCCTATCAAATGGCCTTACCATTATCTATGTAGCCATCCCCTTCCTACTGAGTAGCTAGCTTGTTTCCTTTATTTTATTGTTACAAACCAAATATCAATGGGCAGTTGGGGATCGTTTCTTTAGGATTTGCTCCTGGCTATCACAGAAGCTATTTTTAAGGGAAGGGCAGGCAGAAAAGACTGGGGGGCACAGGAAGCAGCAGAGGCGAAGAAGGAAGGCAAAGGGAGAATGGGAAGGGAGCCCGAAAGGCCTGTGTCCCCCTCTCCACCCCTCCTTGGTCCCCATACCAGTCTGGCAGGACCCATTGCCTCCTTGTATACAACATAGGGAACATAGGGAACTCCAGAGTAAGACTCGAAAGCCAGATATCTGGCCTGGCACAGAGCAGTAGCTAAATCAATGGAGAAATCTATTGGTCTAACTGCTCCTCTGGCAGCCAAGTAAGATCCTTGAGAGGCCTAAGCCAAGTATATCAGCCAGATCCTACCAGGAGCAGGACTTAATCATGGCGCAATCACCGTTCATATTCCTACATGGGAGTCTCAGATGTTCACAAATAAGACAAATAAAGGAAACAATGATTACAAGAGCAATGATGACAGGATTCAGAGACCTGAGGGGAACTGAAACGATCAACGCTTTCTTCCTAAGAGCTAATAGGGCGCTGCTGACACTTTTGAAAAAGGTTGCAACTGAGAAAATACCTAATCAAATGCCTCACTCACCAAAATTATCTCCACAGAAACAGAATGCCACTAGCAGGTCTGGGCACAGTACTCTGCTGTTAGCCAATGGGGTACATGTAATGCATGCACCGATTTAATAATCATGGTGACTGCAAGCCAACAACATATAAATTCTTTGAAGTGGGTAGTTCTGCTAGCCCCCCTTGTGGATAATGAAGCAGAGGCTAAACTCAAGATTCCACGGGCAGGATCAAAACCCAGAGTTAACCAAGCACATGCTGTTTGGATAAGAGACTGTGACTGTACCCAACCCAGCCTCCAGCCCTATCTAGAAACAGAGGGAAGAAGCAATAATAACAGACAAGTAGATGCCCTCCCTTCCTCTCTCCCTCCCTCTCAAGGGGATTGTTTTTCAGCTGCCCATCACCCACAGTTCCATTACTTGTCCAGTTCCACGGCATGCATGGCTAGACTCCAGAGAGCAGTTACAGGAACTTGTTCTCAGCACACTGGAGGAAGGAGCTTTAACTAATACAAGGGCCTAGAGGCTAGAATCATTGGAAGGGGTACTTAGTCCTTCTCTGTAGTCTAGGACTCGTGCATCCCAGCAGAGGTGTTTTTGTCTGAATAGTAGAGAGCCTTGGCAAGCGACTCTGGGAGCCCAGCCAGAAACTTCCACATAATACAGATGAGAAGATTCAGGAAAAACTACTTTAGTCCTGAGCCAGTCTATTCAGTGGGTCTAAAATCCGGGCCTTTGGGGCTACAGCTCCATGACCTCTGCCTGGCAGAAACACTTGCCTTCGTTTTTGCTCTTAGATCATCTTACTGAGGTCTTCTAAAGTAAAATCCTTCACAACCCCCCCACAACTGGACAAAGGGCAGCCCTTCCTCCCAGGCCAGCTCTACACAAGCATCCTGTAATCTGGCTTAATCCTGACATGCACGACGACCAAGCTTCGGTTAAGTATACATGTGCGTGAAAAGAGACACAAGCAGCAGCCACTAGCAGAAGAGACTTCTAGGCAGATGAAGAAAAATAAATTTAAAAAGAAGTTCTTCAGCCACCACACCTCTTCCACTGCTAAAGCCTTCCAAATACAGCCCAAACCAAGAGCCGCCAAGTCAGCAGAAGCAAGCAAGTTGTTTTCCCAGTCTCAAAGAGTTGGGAAGAAAAGAAGGAGTCAGGGGAGTCAGGGGCCATTGCGCCTCACCTCCTCCACTGTGGGCCTTTTTGTTACTACATCAAAGTCAATTGAAAAGCCTTCTTTCAAAACAGTGACCTCTCTTTCTCCCAAACGTAGAAACTATGATCGAAGGAACTGTGTCTCCAGCCACTAACTACACTCCATACTGATAACATTCAGAAACGGCCCCACTTGAAGACACTGTCTCACAGTAGGCAGGGTGTGCGTGCGTGCGTGCGTGTGCGTGTTTGAACGGTCTTTCACGGTAACCATTTTGGAGGCAGCTGTGAGTGCAATCAAAATGAGGAAAGGAAGGGAAGGTGTAAGTGCACCCTGACTCACAGAGCAGTAACAGTTCTTAGAAAAATGGGGAGGCCGATTAAGAACAAAACTGTCCCTGCAATGTGCCTTTTAACTTTCAAGAATAAACCTGCTCTCTTGGCACCAGTCCCCCAAATGCCATGTGGCATCCTCTCAAGGGCCGCGAGTACACAGTAGGCCAGGACGCACGCTGCCGAGGACGTCTTGGCATGCCTTATCTGAGTGTCTGTGAACATTAGTCAGGTCCATCTTCTCTAGAATGGGCTACTCTATTGGGGGTGAAAATCCTTCCTGCCACTAAGAAACTCAATGGCTGCTTGACTTCAGAAAGTGGTAGCAATGGCCCCAGGCCAGGCCAGCCAAGGCAGAATAGAAAGATTGCCAGGGAGAATGAATGAATGAGCAAATGAGGGTTCACAAGTCCCAAAGAGAAGTGCAAAGTAGCCTCGGTCCTATGACTGCCACCACTGTCCTCTGGGTCCTGTGTGAGCACGCCCAGCCCTCCAAGTTTCAAAGTGGCTCATGTGCTGAACCCCAAAGGGAAACACCGCAGAGCCCGGCTCCCATGGAGACAACCTGATGATGCTGTCTGGGGTCGGGGGGGGGGGGGAATGGCTTCACAAAGTTGCTCCGAGATACCTGGAATTCTAGTTACCCTAAGCCATGTGCTTTGGGGAGGGGCAGGGGATGGGGTGAGGAGGCTGTGAAAGCCACCAAGTTATGTAGAACACTGTCTTGCCTTCAACAAGTATCAGCCCCAACTCTGGAGCAACTTACCATACCTCGGGCTTCCTTTATCTCACAGCCCAGGGTGAGAAAACCACTTTTCCTCCTGACCCAGCACATCCACACCAGTAAATACAGACACAGACACACTGAGAACTGAAACAGTTGTCCTCCAAAACGATACTTACCTCTACTGCACGGCATTATGTACTGTGCTAGTTCCTACACCATTTCCAATGTTTGTTGGAAGCTAGCAAACTGATTTTGCATCTCAATAAATGGCCAGAAAATGCAATGTTGAATAATCCCAGCTGTGTGACCTGGGGCACAGTACCTAACTGCCTGAACCTCAGTCTTCTCGTCTAAAAGAGATGATGGCAGTATTTTACCGAGTTGTTGAATAGACGGGGAGGGGGGGGGGCATGAAAAGCACCGATAAAGTGCTTACAACTAATTCCTTCTGAATTCCCACTCAAAGAAACTAAGGCTCATCAGAGAAAAGCAACTTGTCCAGCTATGCCCAGCTCGAGGGCCTCTCTGCTAGCCTAGCTCTGCAGTTCCAAACTGAGGGCTACTACACAGTCCCAGACCCCTGCTCTGCCACTCCGGTGTGCAGCCTCCAGCCCACAGCCTTAACCACGATGCCCTAGCAGTTTTCTGTGGAACAAAGGGACATCACTTTCGCATGAAATCTTCTCTCCAGACAACTCAGATGAGCCCTAGCCCACCCTGTTTCAATTCATGTCCCTCAGGCTGTCGGCTCAGCTATGACTCAGCTATCCATTCAGTCACAGGGACACTTAAAAACCTCTGAGGCGTTGCTGTGCGTCAGGGCTAGTGACAGGAGACACACTGGTGAGCAAACCCAACTATGAAATTTAGAATTTGATGTGGAGACATTTGAAAAAATACTCAAACTCATTATTTCAACAAATATTTATTGAGCACCTACTAAGTGCCATGCATCATGGCAGGCCCGTGAGAATACAGCGGTCACCAATGCAGAGCATGTCCCTACCCCTCACGGAGCTTACAGTCTAGCAGTGCAGTCACACAGTAACCCCTACGAAAGGTCTCGCTCCAGACTGAAGTCAGAGCCCCTAGAAAAGGAAGGAGCATGCTAGAACACTAGGCCCTGGCACACAGTAGAATCAGCAAGGCTTTAAGGATGCTTAGAAAACAAATGAGGGGCATGTGTGGTCAGGAAATAAGAGGTTGTTTGGGAGCAGTGTGTGGGAGACAGTTGAGCATGAGAAAGCTAAGGATTCAGTCAAGTGAAGACATCAAGTTGGTAAGTGAAGCTGAAAGAATGAGGAGAAAGACAAGGGCCAGAGATTTCTGAGGAAAACTAGCAGAGTGTGGGGGTCCCGAGGCCAGGGACAGAGGAAACCGAAATAGGACTACTCAGCCATTTCAAGAATGAATGAAAGCCACAAAGCCATCTCAGTTTGACCAAATCCAGGGACTACTAAACATGTGAGGCGAGCAAGCAGAGGAAGCAAGCGCTGGTGACTTTGGGGTAAAGGGACAAGGGTGACCATCAGGTACTGACCAGAAGCAAAGGGCAAGGTGGTTGGCTAAGACAGAGGCTCTGGCCTGAGGATAAGTCAGCAGAGAGGACCGGGTGAGAGGGACAGGGAAAGAGTTAACAGGACAGAAATGAAGCTTACGAGCTCAGATTCTGGAGCAAACGGCAAAAACTGAAGCTCTGGGGCAAAGAACAGGGACTAGCCTAAAACGGGGACAATGTGAGGGGTGTTAGTGTTCTGAGTGATAGGGAGTTCCATTCTGATGGTATCTATTATGTTTGGGTAAGCAAAAGGCAGAGTCTGAAGGTAAAGAATAAGTGAGAGGATGCCATGAAAGAGGAGCTGAGGGTAGATCAGAGAACATATAAGATTACCAGGCAGGGTGGAAGGCACTCCTGAACTTGGGGTAAGGCTCCCATTAGGCTCTGGGGCATTCTCTAACTTGACCTGCCCGTGCTGATCAGTGATACGAATAAAACTAGAAACTTAAAGAGAGGCTAGGGATGGACAGGCTGCCCTGAGGAACCCCTCTTAGAACTGAGGGGGTCTACACGAGGAGAATTTGATGGGTACAGGACACACATCCTCAGAGAAGCAAACAGTATGAGCAAAGACCCGAAGCAAGAGTGACAGAAGGGACGTGGTGACAAGAGCTCAGGAAAACAGTATAACACAAGACTACATGACAGCAGAAGGCAAGCTGGAGAACGGAGAGGGGGTAAGGGCCCGTCAGACTTTGGTTGATCTTTATTTTGAAGAGGAATAGGACATCTCCTCAGAGTATAAAGCCAAGACAGACCAGAAGGCCTCCATCCGTTACCAGTCCTAGCACCGAGGACTCCAATGCTATTTACTCATGCAGTTAAGAGGGATTAAAGCAGTCTAGCCCACAGAAATCAGTCAAGAATGAGACTATACAAAAATATTCAGCAAAGTATCTAGCAAAGAAAAGGAGCACAGTCATGTGTCACTTGGTAAGGCTTGACCCTGCCTCACCACCTGGCTATAGTACAAGCCCTTGGGTATCTTAGATCCAGTCTGGGTCTTCTTTGCTTCTTCCTAGCCCTGTGCTCAGCACATAACAGGCCCTACAAAAAAATGCTTGCTGTTGGATTATCTCTAAACCTAATGGGTACTGAAAACCTGGTCCTGCAACCCAGGGAAAACATGCCTGAGCCTCTTGACTATATCCTCATGGCTGCCAAACATCTCCGCTGACCCCACCTGTCATGGCCCAGCTGCACAGTGGGCCTGCAGCCAACATTTCTGAAGCCCTCTACAGCAGGCCTCCCACAGATAAGAAAAGGGTATCCCCTGAGGTCCACCACCATTTCCCCAGAGGGCTAGATCACAGGGGGTAGCTGTTCTTCAACAGCACTCCAAATCAGCAGCAGCACAAAGGCCTTACAACAATAAGTTGAAATGTACTTGCCAAGAAAGCCACCGACCTACAAAGAAAACCTTATCGCTGATCTTGCAGTGCACACCAGCCTCCCCTTTGCAAGAGCTGAGATCAAAAGATAAAGAAGCTATCAAAAAGCCATCTGCCCACTTAAAATAATATCTCAAGTCACGTTGGGAACCACAAGCATGGGGCCAGCTACCAAAACAATTGTCTAAATGAACTACTTCAATTTCTCCTTAAAACCACCCATGTATTTTAAAAGAAAAACACCCTCTCCACCCACCTTGGCCTAACAAGGTTTTGATTTGTCTGTTCCCTTCCTTTCACACTCTTGAAAATGACCAAACTTCAATACCCAAACTGTCGTATCTTACAGACAGGGCTCCCATAACTGCCAACTGGGATGAGAAGTGATTGAAATGAAGGCGATTCTGGGGCACTGGAACTGCTCAGTCTCCCAATCTGGGCGGTGGCGATAGAAGTGTGAACATACGTGTAAATCTTCTGAGCCATGCACTCAAGATCAGTACCATCCATGTGGGTATACCTCAATAAAACATCAAGCACACAAAACAGGTACAGGGGAAAAGATGAAGACCTAAGAACACCACCCATGAAATCCAGAATTTGCTTTTAAACTAACGGCCTCAACATTTCCTCCCTGCGCTCACCATTTACTGGCGGAGTGGCTTTAAGGAAGCTGGATCACCTCCCTGAGCTCCCCAGCTCCCTGTCAACTAGGACTCAGTATAGCACCTACAACAAGCAGCACATTCAGCTGGCCTTCAGAGGACAATGGACCTACCACTCTTACCAGCGACCAGTAAACGCTGACCACCACTCCTTTCACAGCTACAGTTATGCCTGTTACCTTGCCCATCCAAGTTCAACCACACAGTGTCAATACCATCCCTCTCTGAGAAGTGAAGAACTGAGAAGAGACCATACAACAAAGCTGAGTTCAGGAAGGGAATCCATAGAATGTGAGTATCTAAATATTAATGCTAATTAACACCGCTCTGGCACGTCTTGGAACTAGGCTAGACCCTGAATGCTTTTACTCACCCTGTGCAGTACGTGCCATAATTACATATTTTACAGATGAGGACATACTTAGTTACCTCCACACAATGCAGTTAAGAATTGGCTAAGGTCACAACACTAGAAAGGGGCAGGCCTAGGTCTTGAACCCAGGTAACCTTACGGCAGAATCCAAGTTCTCAACCCTTCAAGGTCCATCAGCTAAGAGCTAAACCTTTCAGCACCATTCACAACAAGCCCCTGACCACAACCAGTCGATCCCACAACACATCATGCAGCTTCCAATGGCCAAAAGAGCAACCTCCCATTCCCATATCCATTTTCGGTCCTCAGAGAAGGAAAACGCATACATTTCTCGGAGAACTAACTAACCCAAGGAGTCACCTCACCTACATGACCACAAAGAGAATCAGGCCTAGCTGCTGTCCTTGAAAAACTTAAGAGCCCTGGCTAAGACGACCTAGAGAAGCATTCTATCAGTCTCCTGGGTTAGAAATGGTCCTTTCTCCCAGCCCCTGAAGCTTATGGGAGGTATGCAAAAAAAAGACATGAGCTTCAAGTCCACTTCTCATTAGCTTCTGTCTCTGCCAAAGCTAATGCTTCCATTTGAGATTACGGCCTCAGCCCCTCACCTCTACAGGAGGCCTCAGACTACCAGAGGAACAGTTAAAAAAAAAAAAAAAGAAGCTTGCATAGACTTCAAGGCCAGAAATGGTTGAAACTAAAAAGCCAAGTACCACCACTTCCTCAACCAGTTTCCCCACCTCTGTAACTGACTTCCTGCCATGTCAGATAGGAATCAGATTCCACACCCCACACTGGGAGACCCTTAGTCCGCACCATCAAACCGCATGCTCTCTCCACTCTAGCACACCGGCTGTCATTCATACCAAACTCATAACCACCTCAGGGCGGTTGAACTTGCTGTTCCCACTGCCTACGTCTTCCTTCCATGTATGTCACTGCTCCATGCCACTCAGGGCTCCATGCCACCTCCTCGGTAAAGTCCTACCTGTTCCACTCTCTATGAATTCTCTCTTCCACAACTCTTCTTTATCACCGTCTGGGACTGAGCACAAGAACTCACTCAACGCGTCTACAGCAGCCACTCCCTCTCCAGAGCCTTAACTCTACTTTTTTCTTCTCAGCACTAACCTTAGCCCTATTTATCTTATCTACTTGTTTGCTTTTTCATACCGTTTCCCACAGGAGCCTAGCACAATGGTTGAGGGCAGGGAAGGTGTCTGTCTTGTTCAGGGCTTTACAGTGGAATTCAATAATGGATGATACCCCAGTTCTTAAAACAGTGCCTAGCACATGTTTGGCCTCCCCTACTCTTTGATCAAATGCACCCTCCTCCCTGTCCTGAAGAGCAGGCCTGGGAGGTGGGGGGGGGGGGGCTCCTGGAATGGGATGCTTGTCCTCCATTCTACATCCAGCCCTGTGTTGGCGGAGGTGGCGCTGGCAGACATTACCTGCGCCTCACCGGCTTCATGCAGCTCTTCAGCTGCCTGGCCTCAGCCTCCACAGGACCCTGGGACTCAGGCTGTGGCTCCAGCTGCTGCAGCTGCTGCTGCTGGGGCAGCCCTTCGGCATCAGTGGGTGTGGGAGCGGGTGCGATCCGAAGCAGGACAGTGTAGTTGCGGCCATGGTTGTTGGCCCAGAAAGTGCCCTCGGGGGTCTCATAGCGCACCACGAAGTCGAGGCGCGCCCCATCACCCGCGCCCTCAGCAAAGGGCAGCTGGAAGGCAAAACGGTCAGTGCGGCCACCGTCGTCGGGCGAGGAGGCAGACATCTGGCCAGGGCCCAGGCCTAGACCCGGATCCAGGAGGGGATCTCCTGCTCCTGTTCCTCCCACTCCTGCCCCAGGCGGGCTGCGTGGGACATAGCGCGCTGGGTGGTCGCAGAAGGAAGCCCAGCCGTCGTGCGAAGCCCGCACGTGCACCGCCTTCTCGAAGGAGCGGTTCAGCACGCGCACCAACCCGCGCACCACCGGCGGGCGCCCCCCAGGCACCCACACCCCGGAACCCCCGGGGACCGCTCCAGGAGGCGGCAGTAGCGCCTCCAGCTCCACCATCACACGCCCCAACCGCTCCAGACGGCCCAGCGCGGGCGGCAACGAAAATGTGGGCACCAGGTAAAACCCCCCGCCAGCGGGAACGGGACACAGCGGCGAGGGATCGGGGCAAGCCTCCTCTTCCTCCTCCCCTTCATCCCCATCCTCGCCATCATCGTCCTCATCAGCCCCGCCGCTGCCGCCATCTTGCCCGGTCGCCGCCGCCATCTTGCCCGCCCCGGGCCCGCCCCACGGCCGGTAGCGGCGTAGCTGCGCCAGAGGCAGCCCCAGGGCCTCGTCAGCGAACAGCACCCTCCGCGGGGCCACCGCCGCCTCAACCGAGGCGCGGGGCTCTCCCGCAGCCGGCGACGGGGGCACGGGATGCCGCAGCGGTGGCTCCACAGGGGCCGTGCGCGCCATATCGGCGGCGGCGGCGGCGGCACCGACGGCACCGGCGGTGGGACCGGCGGGGGCAGGGCCTGAAAAGGCGGGCAGCCAATGGGAAGGCCAGGGCGAGGGGATGGGGCTCCAGCGGAGCGTAGGCGGTGAGATGAAGACAGGTACAGCCAACAGCCAATGGACAGCCAGGAGGGGGTGACGTAGGCAGTGACTGCTGAGCAGGAGAAGCTAGCGGCCAATGAGGACGCCCGAGCGTGGGCGGTGTGGGAGGCGGGATGATCGCCGAATCAATGGAAAGGCCGGAGTCGGGTTAATGCGGGACCGAAGACGTAGCTGGCAGAAGTGGTGGCACTTAGTGGGGAAAGCCTAAGCACGAGCGGCGGTGGGCAGCGGAAAGATGGAATGGATACAGGCGATGGGGGCAGTGGAGAGCGAACCCACAGGTCCAAAAAGTGGGAGATCCGCAGGTTGCGTAGGCTGTAAAACGTAAGAAAGATAAAAAGAACAGCCAATGGAGAACTGCACGCGAATGATGTAGAGGCAGGATGACGATAATGATAGCATTGAGCCAATGGAGAGTCTTGTGAGAGTGCACTGTGGCTTCAAGGGGCGGTAACAGGGTGAATCTAGCCAATACAGAGACCAAAAGGAGGCTGGAAGATATTGTGTGGGCAAACACGGAGGCGGGACTGTAAGGGGGAAGAGCCCTTGGGCATGTAAAAAGTGAAGGTGGGAGCAAGAAAGAGATGGGGAGCCAGGGTGAAGGCTGTGAGTCTCCCGGCAGTGCCTGTGTGGGATTAACCAATGCCTAAACGGGAGAATGTAGCCGGATGGAGACTCTAGAGGCAAAATGGGAAAACAGAGCCAAGGAAGGTAGTGTTGGTGATGTAAAGGAAAGTGTAAGTGGCCAAATACGTAGGTTAGAGTGGAAGAAGGTGCATGGACAGCCTGAGCTACTGAGGGGCTGAGCATAGAATCAGAATTCAGGCAGCCAATAAAATGACTAGGCCTCTGGGAATGGATTTCCTTTCTCCCTATCCTTCCACGACTCCCTATGACCCCGCGAATTTCCAGAACCCCTAAAAGCCTACATTGCACGGTAGTGTGAGACCAAAGCAAAACAGCTCTGCCATCAGTCCCTGGATGTGTCCCGCACCTCCCCCCCCACACACACACACAACAGCTCTGCCATCAGTCACTGGATGTGTCCCGCACCACCCCCACACACACACACAAAACAGCTCTGCCATCAGTCCCTGGATGTGTCCCGCACCACCACCCCCCACACACACACACAAAACAACTCTGCCTTCAGTCACTGGATGTGTCCCGCACCACACACACACACACACACAAATACCTCCCAGCCTTTTTGTGAGCAGCGCAACTAGCCCAAACCGCTCTTGATTGTTCCTTAAAGTTCCCAACTTGGAACCATTGGAAAAAAAATCAATCACAACATAGGAAATAGAAGTCTTTGAAGGATTAGTGTTTTCTAACTTGCACTCAGCAGACATTGGCCCTGACAGTATGCGACCAGTGGATAGAGTCAGGCTAATGCTGCCCTTCTTGCTCATTTTGACACTTTACACCCCACAGTGGCTTCCTCTCCCCCACTTTTTCCCCCATCTCTGTGGAGACCATCTCCTCTGCCCAGAGTGCTGTCTCATCTAGTTCTTTCATTCTCCCTTTGACATCTCATTCCTATGGGGATGGAATAGATTCTGCTAGCATGTTCGTTCACATGTCATCCTTTCCATCTTGCTTATTAGGACTTACTGTCTGCCTTGTGCCGGCTTCAGGGGATGCTTTTCTCTAGCCTTCACAATACCCATAACAGGAAGGCCATCCCTCGGCCACCTGCAGTCTCTCTGCTCCTCCAGTCTGTGTCCAGAGTCATGAAAGGAATATGTTCAGCTACAAGTAGCAGAAGGATAATGAAATGATGAAGGTTTAAACAAGGTAGAGCTTTTGTCCCACCCGAAAGTTCAAGGTGACAAATAATCTGAGGACTCCATCCTAGCTGCCCATTTTTTAGGCATCAGCTGTGTGTGCCCTGGTCTTGCTTTTGAGTCTCATTATTTAGCAAATCCTGTTGGTTATCTATCCAAAGCATTTCCCAAGCAGTATATGGTGATGCATACTTGTAATTTCAACACTCAGGAGGCTGAGGCAGGAGGATCACTGAATTCAAGGCCAGCCTAGGCTACAAGTGTGACCTTGTCTTTTAAAGAATGGTTAGGTGCAGCTCAGTGATAAATCACTTCCTGGCAAATGTATGGGCCCCCATCTCTAGCACCATTTTTTAAAATGCCAAATCTGTCTTTTCACTACCAGTCTACCAATAGAACCAACACCAGTGCCAGTCACCTGGGCTACTGTAGTAGCCTCCTCCTTCTTGCTCTATGCCCCATGTACCTACACCCTATTCCACACTTGGAAATCTAAGGTGTCCTCTTAAATCCTGACAGTGATGTCCCTCCTCTGCTCCCAACACTCCCACGGCTTCCTTCCGACTTAGAGGAAAAGCCAAACCTTCACCATGTTGTAAAAGGCATAACCTTTGACCTTACCTCCTGCTCCTCCTGCTTTTGCTCACTTCAACCACACCAGACTCCTTTCTGACGCTGCCCAAATCCAGTACACTCACCTCAGGTCGTGCAATCCACATTGGCCCTTCCCTCTATTTCTGCGGGTCTCTCCATGGCTCTCTTCCTCACCTGTGTGGGGTCTGTATCAAAGATCCCTTTCCCTGGGGACTTTCCCTGACCTGTTCAATTCTACCCATTCATCTTCAACCCCCAGCCCTCCAGATTCTCTTCCCCAGCATCCTACATGGGCAGATACAGTTAAGGTGGAGAGGAGATTCTGCCCTCTGATAACCTGACCCCCAACCCTTTTTCTGCAAAGATCCTGGCTTTCAGCTTCAATAACCTCAACCCTCCTGCAGCCGAGGCCCACTCATGTAGCCTCCTGTGTCTGTGTCACTACTAATCCTCATTCACTTCTCCTGCAACCTCTCTGTCCAGTCTTTCTCACAGAGTGGCAGTAAGGGGGAGATGGTCACAGGGATATAAAGGAGGATGCAGACCCACACCATGAACCCTGAGAAAGCAAGCACCTATTCCAGAAAGAGACAGGGGGAACTGGAACTGTCTCAGTCATATAGAAGATACAGGGACTATTCGGGTTCACGTACACAAGGAGCAGGGATCATTAACCTTGGTTACACCTACAGTCAGCTGCCTAGGACTCCCTGTTAGGTGTGTGCTTCACCCCTCCCCTGCCCCCTCCCCCACACAGCCACATCTGTTAAGCTCCTAGGATCTCTGCAGACCTCCAAAGTAAGAAAGAGGACCTCATCCCATCTCTGTACCTCCCTCTCACCTTGGTACCTCCCTCGACTTCCAACCACCACACAGGCCATGTTTGGTCTCAGATATGTCCCACCAACCTAGAAGCCCCAACCAGTGAAAGTTTTGCTTTGAGATAATGGTAGGGAGGGTTGAGGGTTTTTTTTTTTTTTCAATAGTTGTTGTTGTTGTTGGCTGATATTTTTAGGTCTTCCTTTTTTTCTATTCGCTTTTTTCCCCTTTTGTCTTTACAAAGCCAGGCCATCAGTTCCACGCTTGTCTTTTCTAAAAAGGTGAGGTAGGTTGAGAAAAGTCACTCTTTGTGTGGGGGGGTGGACCTTAGAAGATAGGGATAAGGAAAAGGGGGGCAAAGAAAGAAACTGGTAAAGGGAGTGGGTATTGGCCACTAGATTAAGTATGTGAATAAAAAATGTATTTCTACTTTCTCTTCCTCAGGCCTGAAGTCAGTCTTGCAAAGAGGTCGCAGTGGGCACGCAGCTGGAGAGCTGGAACTCTAAGCTCTACAGGGTGCCGGGGCATCAAAAGCTGGAATTCTTGACCTTGACTGCGCCTTGTCAGGAGAAATCTGTAGAGGCTGCTCTGTGTCAAGCGGTGGTTGGAAGGAGCAGATCTGTGCCAAAGTGAGGAAATGCAGCTGCCAAAACCTTGTAGAAAAACCTTAAGTGCTCACAAGCATCGAGCTCCAGAAGTCTCCAAATCCCAGAACTTCCCTGCCACCGAATCCTAGAAATTAAACCCGACACTGTTGGCTTCAGGAAAACTGGGCACTTCAGAACTCAGTGATAAGGATCCCTATTTTCCATCTTTGTGATCCTGGGCAAGTTGCAGCTCCATTTTCCTTCTCGGTATAATAGCAATACAGTAATGATGAAGTGGACCCCAAAGGGAGCGTATTGTTTGGGGAAATGTTCGGCTCTGTGGCTGGAATGTGGAAAATTCTACATAAATGTTGGCTACCAAAAGTATGACAGTTACTTAGAATCCTTAAATCTTTGCAAACTGTAGATTTTCTTTCCTTTTGTTGTTTAGGTTTTTGAGACAGAATCTGGCTTTATAGCCCCAGGCAGCCTTAAACTCTTGATCTTTCTGCCTCAGCCTCCTGGTTACTGGGATTACTGGCGTGTGTTACTAAACTGGGTGAAACTGGAGCTTTTCAAAGAAGAATGTCACCGAGGCTTGGGGGTGGGGGGATCAGAATCATCAGGCTATGGCTATATTGTTCCAGACAGGATGGGAACCTTGGGCTGCCTTGTGTATGACTTTTTGTTCTTAATTGTTCTTAATCTCGTTTTTGTGTTACTGAGGTTGGAACCAGATGCCTTGTTCAAGTTAAGCAAAGTGACTTTCTTCCCCTAGCCCTTTGTTGTGAAGTTGGATGCATTAGTATGGGGCCTTTGGGGCTGTTTGCAGGTGGGTGGCTGCTGGGTCAGAGCGCTCACGCATAAACATCATGTGGAGATCCTTTTCTCTTCACGGGGAGACTCTCAGCAGATTCTAGGAGCCAGTGATTCTGAGACTTGTTGATTCTGTGAATTTGTGGTAGGAGTACACCCCACTTTCTTTCTCCATGAACTGCATTGCACGCCTCCTGTCTTCTATGGGAAGAAAGGCTACCTACATAAGTGTCCAGATCTCCCAACCTTTGGTGACATGAATGATGGGGACCATTCTACCTGAGGAAAAATGGAGGCCTGAGGCAGGACAAAGCCTGTGGAAGCCAAGCACTAGTCCATCTCTTTGTTTGGTGTTTCCCATCCAAACACTGGGCTTCAGATCCCGTCTTCTTTTCAACCCAGTGGTCCTCAAGCATCCTCCCGTGCACAGAATGGTGTCTCTGCCTATCTCGGGATGCCTTTGGGTTTTGAGTTATTTTCCTTTTTTTTTCTGACTCTACACACTTTTGTTTAAGAAATTGTGGTTTCTCATGAGCCCTGTTATCTCATTGATACCTTTTACCTCTGTCGTGAGGGGAAGAAATCATATTTTCAGATGACTTGTAAAGGGCAAAGAAAAAACCCAAAATTTCAAAATTTCCGTTTAAGTCTCATAAGAAAAGAATAAACAAAGCGAGAGAGAGAGAGAAAAAAAAAACTATGAGAACCCCCCCCCACCCTGTGATTATCAGCACACACACTCATCAAAAAAAATTGGATTATTAGAAGAGAGAGGTCTGCGGCTTCCACGCCGTGGTTTTTCTTCTCGGTATAAAAGCAAAGTTGTTTTTGATAATGTGGCAGTTTCCCACAAGCCAGGCTGATCCTGCTCTGTCAGTCCATTGCACCAAGGTGAGTGTCCCTGCTCTCCCCTACCAGACACAGCTCTGCTGGAGAAAGTATCAGGGAGAGAGCAGCTGCAGGTCAGGAGCCCTCGAGTCCAGCTGGGAACACCCAGCCACTGTGAACTCCAGGTAAGGACTTTTGAAACTAATGCTATTTATCGGAAGTGCCAGAGAGGTGGCGCAGTCAGTCCTTAGCTGGGGGCAAAAAGAAGAAAACTGATTGTTTGATACACAGATGGACAGGATTTTTTTAAAGATGCTAATCAACCGCCGGTCTCGATGAATGCCAAAGCTTTGGGAACTTGAAGTGTTGTCCAGCTGGAACTAGAAACTTGAACTGCATCTCTTGTTTCTTTCCTCTTAATGCCCCCACTTCTTTTCCTGTCTCACTCTGTTTCCTTGTCTGTCCCTTTCTTTCTCCCTTGAATGCCCACTCTCTGTCCATGTCTTTCCAAGGCTCTGCCTATATTCCCTGTCCCTTCCATCCTGAGCAGCTGTATCCCACCTCTCTCCCTCTCCCTCTCCCTCTCCCTCTCCCTCTCCCTCTCCCTCTCCCTCTCCCTCTCTCTCTCTCTCTCTCTCTCTCTCTCCCCTCACCTACTTCACCTGCTTTTCCACTCAGCACAGAGGTGTGCATCACTAGCACTTACTAATAATGGCTCGAGGGCTCCATTTCCCAAAAGTGGGTGTCAGTTGTTTGTCCTAGGAGGAGGATTGTGAGCAGGCAGGTCGGTCTCAGCATGTGATTGATCTTTTGCTTGTGTCACACAAGAGGACACCCTCGAGAAAGGCACTTCACAGCACGGTCAACCATGGTTTAGCAAAGGACTGTGTGACTGTGACCAGAATCCATGTCCGTGGAGGACAGACAGTTCAGGACTAGGGTGAGCTCGTGTCTCCAGTCTTAGTCGTGTGGCCCTGTGAGTGACTGGTATATGGTAAGTTCTCACTGTGAGCTGTTCGTATTTTTAAACAAATTAGAATCATGCTGTATGTGGGGTTTGTTCCTGCTTTATTCAATCAATACCATTTTTGTAGCATACTTTAAAAAATGAGCACGTGATCTTTTATGTCTGCCCTGACTGTCCTCACACCACACTCTGAATTGCCTGAACTGAGTGCTGATGGTTGGACATTCAGGTTTCTTCTAATTACGAAGACGCACAACAGACCCCTTGGACCCTGAAGATGGAGTAGCTGGGGAAGAAGGCTGTGCATTTTTAAGGCTTTTTGTTGTTGTTCTCTCTGCGAATTGCGTTTCCAAAGTGCTGCCTTGTTTTCTAATGTTTCTATGCAAGCTAATCTTAGGTGGCTGTTACCATTTTTAATCCCTTACCATCATAAGTAAAAATTGCTATATTGTCAAATTTTGCATTCTTTGGTGACTTTTAATGACGATTGGCCATTTGTGCTTTGCAGAGAAGAGTTGTATGAGCATGTTCCAACTCCTAATAGAGTAACAAGATTTTTTTTTTACAGACCTTAATTTGGAAAGGACAATAACTTTCTATTGGCTATGCATTATAGCAAACATTTGCTCCAAATTCATCATTTGTGGATATATGTATTTTCATTTTATTTACTTATTTTGTGGGTATGCCTGTATCGCCTGCATGTGCACCATATGCATGCCTGGTGCCCACAGAGGCCAGAATAGGGTGTGGGATCCCATGGGACTAGAGTTAACAGATAGTTGTGAGTTGCCACGTGGATGCTGGGAATTGAAACCACCTCTGGAAGAGCATTCAGTGCTCTTAACCACTGAGCCATCTCTCCAGCTCCATTTGTGTGCTTTTGTGTTGTTTTTGTTTTGAAAGAGGGTCTCACTCTATAGCCCTGGCTGGCCTAGAACTCACTGTGTAGACCAGGCTGACCTCACACTCACAGAGATCCATCCATCTGCCTCTGCCTCCTGAGTGCTGCGATTAAAGGCACAGGCCACCATACCCTATCATTTGCTTTTTTCTATTTATTGTGCTTTGTAATGCACGTGTTTTATGTATTCAGATTCCTCTTTTCTCATGTGGCTTCTCTCTATGGCTTTGTGTTTAAAAGTCTTTTGTCACTTGAAAATGAAATAACTGTTCACCCCATACTGGCTTCCAGTCTCCTTTATGGCTTCATTTTTTCCATTTTCACAAGTGTGGGTACTGGAGCCAGACTGTCTGGAACAATGTAGCCTCACCTCAAGTCATCTGTGTGAATGTGAACCAGCACTTAACCTCTCTGTCCCTCCATTTCCTTGTATGCACTGTGGGGGGTATAATAATACCTACCTCAGAGGAGCTTTCTGAGGATTGCGGAATACACAATGACAGACATTAAAATGGTTGTCTTCAGTGGGTCTGGAAATTATTCTAGAGCAGGTGATGATGGTGACATTTCAAGTGGGCAGAGGTACTGGTGGGAAAGTAGTCTGATCATTCAACCCAGTCACTTATTTTCTCCTGATTGTCTCAGAAGCATTTAGTAATCTCACCTGCACTATTCCTCATGTTAAAATGTTACATTCATTGCAAATCCCATCGTCTCCAAGCAGACCTATGCCAAAGCTTTTAACTCTGCTCTGATCCTTACTATCTGTTGTACAAGAGCAATACCACTTTTCTGATGTTGCTTTGCAAAACAATTCAATACCAGCCATGGATGTCTCTGGCACCTAGGGGCATTAGTCCTCCAGTCAGAGGCCAGTGATCATTTGGGTCAATCCCCTATCTTTCATTCTTTTTCTCGTTATTTCTCTGTATTTCTCATAGCTCTCATTGTCTCTCTCTGCGATCTATTTCTGTTCCATCTCATGTCTCTGTGTCTATCTCTCTCTATACCTGTAGCTTCCTCCATGTCTGTTTCCCCATGTCTTTATTCATACACACATGTGCACGTGCATACACAGGATAAATGGATGTGTATATTATGTATGTATGATTTACCCCAGACACAGGCCAGAAAGACCCTGGCCTTCCTCCATCCCATATTCTTCCCAGGCCTCACAGAGATGTTGTATCAGTTAAACACAAGCTTTGATCTCAGAAATCTCAGTGGGCCCGTGCCTCTGGCCATCCCCCACTGTGGCCTCAGTTATCAGGAAGTGCCAGTCCCTCTTCTGCCTTCTCACAAGTTGGAGCCAGATTTGAGCAAGATGGTCTATAATCATGGCATGGGGCCAAGCCTCACAAACCCTGGGCCAGTGAGTCAGTTGGAAGCCCTAGCCAACCAGAGACTAGCAATGATGGAGGAGTATCAGGAGCACTGTGTCCTCAGAGTTGGTGCTGGGTCCTGGGGACCACTATTCTGAGGTTTTGCCAAAGAGCGTGGTGGTGTGCTCTTTCCACGAATCCCAGGCCGAATGTCTTCCTCTTGTTCCCATCTGTGGTAGGATGTTATGATTTGGGGAGCAGTGTCCCAGGAGAGGGGGGCTGGAGTCATATGTAAGTGTCCATTTCCCAGTCAGACATTTTGTTCGGCATTTTATATGTACTAACTTTGTTACTGTCCCAAACTAGAAAGGAGGGCAAAGCCTGGCCTGCAGATCAGGACACATGAGGGTCCTTCTAATCCTCTTCCTTTATCGGGAAGGAAGCTGAGGAGAACTTGTTGACATCCCAGGCCCAGCAAGAGGCCTTATAGAGTTTTGGGCTTCCTGGCCTTTACATGGCTCCCATTTCTTTGGACTCAGAATGGTCCACATGGTAAGGAAGTGAATCCAGGCACCCTATAAAGTCTGTGTTCCTGACATCCACTGGTTCTAAGAAATGAGATCCTACGGTTCTAGGTTTCGGTTACTGTACCATTTGAAGACCCAACGGGTCCCAGTAGCGATGAGGCCTGCCTAACACTCACCAAGTGTTCAACCTTGGGCCCCTCTGACATCCAAGAAATACAGGATCCACAGAACCTGGGGTTTACATGGTGGCCAGATGGACGTCACCTACCACATCCGCTTGCACCCACCCTGGGCCTATCCGGCTACAGGATGGATCAGTCAGTTCTCGGAACGAAACCTGTGGGGTGGGTTGTCTGCCCCCTTCTCTTCCTCTTTGTTGCCGATGAAGCCCGGTGCATCCGGCCGCCATGACGTCAATGGCAGAAAAGTCTGGCCAAGTCGGGGTTGTGACAACAGGGCCCAGATGTAGACCCCGATAGGAAAACATATTCTATGTCCCAGAAACAACCTCCATGCAGCTTCTGAGAAACAGTCAAAAAGGGACGCCCCAACAGACAGTGCAGGAAGCTGGCTGGCCAGCCCAGCCCTCCAGGTCCCTACTACCACTAGACAGACCATATCCAATTTAAGTGCCCTTTCTGAGAATGTGCTGATGCTTCCCAGAGTCATGCCAGTTCCAGAAATGTTTAGGGAGGAAATTTCTTATAAGTTCTGGCCAAATATCCATACTGCTTCGAAAGTGACCATGGTCCACCCATGAGGGCTAAGCCACTATGGTGGAAAATTCTACTCACGGAACTTAATACACATTTGCTTGGACTGCTGTGAAGAAGTATCACAAACTGGGTGACTTATACAGCATAGTTTATCGTGGCACAGTTTTGAGGCTAGAAGGCCAAAGTCAAGATGTCAGCAGGGTTGACTCCTTCTGTCATCTCTTCCTGGCCTTCTCCCAGTTTCTGGTTGTTTTCTTTGCTGCTCTTTTTCTTGGAGAAGCATCACCTCATGGCTGCCTGCCTTCCTGCGGTCTTTCAGCTCCTCTTCTCCTCACTGTTCTATGAAGCCTGTGTTCTCAGCCTCCACAGACTCCTGGTTCTCATACTACTATTTTAATCCATGAGACACTACAATTTTAATACCTCCATATTAAACTCAAACCAATCTCTTCCAGGACCACAGTTCTGACGATCCCCATACATAATAGCAAAGAAGCAATTGCCTTCCAGAACACTTCCGTGCTCCCCTGGCTGTTTTCAGAAGCTGTATACCCAGCCCATGTAGTACAGTAGACAAGAGGATGGCATACACACATGTGCAGATAGATAGAGCTGGGAGTCTGTCAACTGTAGACATGGATACATACTTCCTAGAGAAAGATGTGGAGACATCAGCCTGGTGGTGACTTGTAATTCCAGTAATTAGAAAACAAAGGCAAACAGTTCAAGGACAAATCTGGCTATATAGTGAGTTCCAGGTCAGTCCAGTCTACATGAGACCCTGTCCAGAAAGAAAAAGAGGTCCAAGGCTATGGAAAGACTAAGAATTATGAACCTGGGGATCCCTTTAATTAAAAGGGGGTAGAATTATATAGTCATTTGAAGATCCGGTTGCCTCTCTGACTAGAACTGTAAGATCCCAAAAAACAAAAGCCAGGCCCCTCAGGGGCTGTAAGTTACTGGGGCTCACCAGCGGGGCCTGGGTCACCATGTAGGGTTTGAGGAGAACACAGAAGACTGAGGCATGGCTAAGGGAAAAAGGGATGGTATAGGAATTCCAAGCTTGAGGAGCAGAGATTGGGGCATGTAGGGATGTGGCTAATTTGGGGAGCTCCCAAGGGCCCTGGATCAAGAAATCCTGTCCCTTTTTTTTTTTTTTTTTGGCACCTGCCATGCTAACTCCATGCAGGACAAAAGCCCAGAGAAGACTAACTAACCCCCGCTGTGGCCCTGAGCTCTGCAGTCTTGAATTCAGTTACCTACCTGCATGTTTGCCCATGCATCAAATGCTTACCTTTGCGTCTAGCCACATCTGACTAACATCACTGCTCCTCCATCCTCCATCTCTCGTAATGCCCACTGTGTGATAGCTGCTAATGCCAAACCCTAGACGTCATCTTGATACTTTCTCTCATCTCCGACATCCAAGCTTCCAGCAACTTTTCCTGGCTGTCTTCAAAAGAGACTGAGTATCCAGCCACTTCCTACCAGCTCCTCTGCCACTATCCAGGCTGACAGCAGCAGCAGCAACTTGCCGGAACTATCGCAGTAGACTTCTCACTAGTACCGCTAGCTCCCTGCAACCTTTCCTCTCGTGGCATCCAGCTGAATCTTTTGAGCTCATGCCCAAGTCACTGGAATAAAATAATGAGAAGAGAATCTAAGACGAGCCCCAGCAGAATCAGCAGAGACTGTGGCCTGTGCAGAATGCATGGGCTACTGGAAAGCTGAGGCCCCACAAACCGACTCCCCATAGCCCCACATTCACAACAAGGTTGTGTGGTGTATGCTGGACATGTACATGTGGGGGCTATATACATATATCTATGTTTTATACACATACACATATCAGGGTAGAGTGTATGTGTGTAATGGCTTGGGGTATAGTTATGGGGCCCTTTGTGACATACCCTGGTCAACACCTACTCAGATCAGAGGTTACCTGTATGGTTCAAGTGGATGAATATCTTACACCGTCCCTGGAACGCACGTGACTCCATTCCACTGTTGTCCCTGCAGCCTGCCTCTGAAAAGAACCCAATGCCCAACCCCAGGCCAGCCAAGCCCGTGGCCCCTTCCTTGGCCCTTGGTCCATCCCCAGGAGTCTTGCCAAGCTGGAAGACTGCACCCAAGGGCTCAGAACTCCTAGGGACCAGGGGTCCTGGGGGAACTTTCCAAGGCCGGGACCTGAGAGGTGGGGCCCACACTTCTTCCTTGAACCCTCTGCCACCATCACAGCTGCAGGTGAGGCCCGGGGCCCAGAATGGGGCAAGCAGGGTGGGGTACCTGGGCCTATAGGTGCCGACCTTTACTGTGGCATGTGGCAGGAGGGGCGCTGGCTGGGGCACAGGAAGTGGTTTATGGGTCCCAGGCAAGTCTGACTTATGCAGATGTTATAGGGCCAAGAAAAATCCCCATTCCCCAGGCCTTAAGAGATCTAGGCTTCCCCCACCCTCCCAATCCTTGTCCCAAAAGGAGACCTTATGATCCCATGGGCATAGCCCTGTGTCCTCATTTTGCTGTGACAAGAGGAGATGGCTGAAGCCCAGAAAGGTAAGATAAGGTGACAGTGTTGGGGCCAGCTCTACCACTTTAAACTGTTTGACATTGGTGAATGTCTCCATGAGCCTCCGATTCCACATTATGAACTGGATATGTTAACAGTTCCTACCACGTGGAACTTCAGTGAAGAGCTGATGAATGGGACACAGAACTGTGAAGATGGGCGGGGCTTAGCATCTTATGGCATCTGTCTTCTCCTTCCAGCTGCCTACAGTACCCCTCGTCATGGTGGCACCCTCTGGGGCCCGACTGGGCCCCTCACCCCACTTGCAGGCACTTCTCCAAGACAGACCACACTTCATGCATCAGGTATGGAACCTGAGCAGGCTGGGAAGAGGGAATAAACAGGAAAACTGTGAAGCAAAGCCCAAGCCAGGCTGAGCCATGGTCCATATGTTCCTCAGCTCTCCACTGTAGATGCGCATGCTCAGACCCCTGTACTACAAGTGCGCCCACTGGACAACCCAGCCATGATCAGCCTCCCACCACCTTCTGCTGCCACTGGAGTTTTTTCCCTCAAGGCCCGGCCTGGCCTGCCACCTGGTAAACATCTCAGCTTTCTCCCTATGGCTTCACAGAATCTTTGCACATACATAACAAACTTGTCTGAATTACAGTCCTATGGAGGTCTAGGGGGTGGTCTTTTTTTTTTTCTTTTGGTTTTTTTGAGACAGGGTATCTTTTGTGTTTGTCTGTTTTTTGTTTTTCGGGACAGGGTTTCATCTGTAGCTTTGGAGCCTGTCCTGGAACTAGCTCTTGTAGACCAGGCTGGTCTCAAACTCACAGAGATCTGCCTGCCTCTGCCTCCGAGTGCTGGGATTAAAGGTGCACCACCACTGCCCGGCGAGACAGGGTATCTTTATATAACAGCCCTGGCTGTTCTGGAACTCACTTTGTAGACCAGGCTGGCCTTAAACTCACTGAGATCCACCTGCCTCTGCCTCCCAAGTGCTAGGATTAAAGGCATGCACCAACACTGCCTGGCCATTATTTTTTTTATTTTATTTTATTGGTGTTTTGCCTGTATGTCTCTGAGTTTGTTGGATCCTGGAGTTACAGACAATTGTGAGCTGTCATGTGGATGCTGATAATTGAACCTGGTTCCCCGAGAAGAGCTGTCAGTGCTCTTAACCACTAAGCCATCTCTCCAGCCTAGAGGGGTCTTAAGAGTCATGAAAACTTCAACCTCCAAAAACTGCCAGGCTTAGAACCTTGAAGATGTAGAATGCTAACAACCACAAATGGCTGCCATTAGTAAATATGTCATTACTTATCAATGGCCATCTTTAGGCTGCTCTGTCAGAAGTTCTGCTCTGTGGGAACAGCAGAGTCCTGTGAGTCAGTGTTCAATGGTCCAGGAAGGTAGAGGCCTTCTGGGACCAGCTACAGAACCTAGCCTGCTGCCCCAAAAGTACCCCGTCTCTACCCACAGGGATCAATGTAGCCAGTCTGGAATGGGTGTCCAGGGAGCCAGCTCTACTCTGCACCTTCCCACGCTCGGGTACACCCAGGAAAGATAAGTAAGTTACCAGTGCTGGGAAGAACCCCGCTCTCTCTGCCCACCCCTCTGCTGATATCCTGTCCTCCCCCATCCCCAGCAACCTCTTGGCTGCACCGCAAGGATCCTATCCACTGCTGGCCAACGGAGTCTGCAAGTGGCCTGGTTGTGAGAAGGTCTTTGAGGAGCCAGAAGAGTTTCTCAAGTGAGTAGGCTGACTAACCATGGGCTTCTGGTATCTGAACCGAGATCTGCCATGCATGTCTCAACTCAGAATCCTCCTGATGGATGCAAAGTAGTAAAGGTTGAGACTTTATCCCTCCGGTTCTGTGATCTTGGGCTTCTCTAGGCCCAGGTTGCCTCACTTAAATGAGACATGATACTAAAGATAAATGCTGATAGTTATCTCCATTTTATACACCAAGGCACTAAGGCCAACCAGAATTAAGTGTCAGTTAAGCTAACAACGGTCCTGTGTGATGAATGTTGGATATGAACCCAGGCGGCCAGGCTCCAGAACCCGCACACCTAACTGCAACACACATGACTGAGTCTCAAATTTCTGCTCCTCCCGACAGCTGTAGCTGTTTCCCCTCGGCTTTATATCTGTCCCCTTCTCCTTCTGTGTTTCACTAACCATACCTAGCTCTTGGCAATGATGTACTTCCTGTACGGCCAGGCCTTTGTGTAGGCTGTGCCCACCACCTGAAATGCCATCCTCCCTCTCGGTGCCTTTCTAATAGCTCAGGCTGGAAAGCCAGTAGTTGCCGGAGAGTGGATGTTTAGAGTAGTCTGTGTGGGAGAAAGAGACGGACAGGGGTGTGGTTGAGTGCAGGGAAACTGAGACTCTAAAGAGAAATCTCCCAAAGGGTCTAGTTGGTACAGCAAGCCAGGAGGCCTGACCCACCATGATCATGAAACCTTCTCCTTGCTCAGGCACTGCCAAGCAGATCACCTCCTGGATGAGAAGGGCAAGGCGCAGTGCCTCCTCCAGAGGGAAGTGGTGCAGTCCCTGGAGCAGCAGGTAAAGCCTGCAGGGTGTGGTTAAGGGGAAGGAGGGCTTGAGGGAGGGAGGGCTTGAGGGAGGGAGGGCTTGAGGGAGGGAGGGCCCTCCAAGGGTAGGCCCTAGCGCAGTCAAGGGGGTGACTAAGAAAGACCAGGTAGAGGCCTCACTTTGGTGTACATCCCCACAGCTGGAGCTGGAAAAGGAGAAGCTGGGTGCTATGCAGGCCCACCTGGCTGGGAAGATGGCACTGTCAAAGGCTCCAGCTATGGTGAGTACCCCAAGTCCAGAGGCAGAAGACCTCAACTGTTGGGGGCCCTTAAGAACCAAATGACCTCTTCTCATATGTAAGCCCCGGCCTGTACAGGCCATTGCCACCTCCTCAATATGCTTACAAACCCTGACCTTGTGACCCCAAAACGTCATGTTCTGCCTTTTCCCAGCAATGATAAATAGGCAGACAATAACCCCAATGCACCAGTGGCAAAACTCAGAGGGAGCACTGCGAAAACGGAGGGCCCTACACTCCAATTTCAAGATAATAACCTCAGAACACTGGATACTGTAGGTCCCGTGTGAGCACACACATCACACGCCCAGTCCCAGGCACTTGGCCGATGTGAACTTTTTCCATTCCCATACTACAATGCAGGGAGCCACCACGGTCATCCTAACTAAATAAAGACACTGAGGTCAAGAAGACATAGTGGACTTTTCCAAATTCACAGTTGGATACTAGGGGATCCCAATTCAGCCCCTGTTCATCCCCAGCCCCAGCATCTATGGCTTCATAGCATGCACACTACTATACTCTAAACAAAATGCCCACTGCCCCTTTATGGAGGTCCACCACAGCCTGCAAGTGACAAGAGGGTGGTGGCCTTCTCGAAAACACTGAACTCACTAGACACACTGTATGCAAGTTCTAGCTACTTGAAGGAGGATCACTTGAAGCCTTGAACTCAAAACCAGCCTGACTAACATAGAGACCTCATCTCTAAAAGATGCTCGGTTGCCACGTTTATGATATGAGGGCCTTGCCTTGTGCCCAGTCTTACTGTATCAGAAACAGAGGAGGGGTTGATCTGGGGGAGAGGGGATGTGGAGGAAGGGACTGGGAGTGGAGGGAAGCGAAACTGAGGGCATGATGTATGAGAGAAGAATAAAAGTTTTTTTTAAAAAAATACAAATAGCCAGATGGTGGTGACACCTTTAATCCCAGCACTAGGGAGGTGGCAGGTGGATCTCTGTGAGTTCAAGGCCAGCCTGGTCTACAGAGTGAGTTCCAGGACAGTCAGGACTACACAAAGAAATCTTGTCTTGAAAAACAAAACAAAACAAAAAAAAAAAAAAACAAATAAACAGAGTTGGGGAGAATGTTCAGTGGGAAGTGCTTGCCATATAAGTAAAAGGCTCTGAGATTGGACCCTAGCACCCACACCGGATGCAGAGTAGTTCAAGTCTGCAATCCCCTTGCACTTAGGTGGAAACAGAATTACCTAAAATGCTGTGCATGGTAGCACAGGCCTTTAAATCCAGCACCCAGCACCCAGCACCGAGGAGATAGAGGCAGTCAGAGCTCTATAAATTCAGGTCAGACCGGTCTACATAGTGAAACCCTGTCTGAAAAACAAGAGAATCCTGCAACTCAGAGCTCACAGGCTGGCTAGCCTGGCATAAGTAGAGGCATACAAGAGATCCTATCTCAAACAAGGTGAAAGGTTAGGACTAACACCCAAGCTTGCTCTGTGATCTCTACACATGCACCAGCACTTACACACATCCAAACATGTAGATGTACACACATCATACATAGAGACAAGTGAGATATGAATAGAACCAAATAAGTAAATGCAAATTTTAAAATAAAGTGGGGTTGGAGGACTGGAGAGATGGATCAGGGATTAAGAGAACTTGCTGCTCTTCCAGGGGCAGTTCACAACTCTCTCTAACTCCAGTTCCAGTGGGATCCAGTGCACATTTCTGGCTTCCATACGCACCAGGCACGCATGTGGTGCAGACATGCATGCAGACAAAATGCCCATACACATAAAGTATTTTTGTTCATTTAAAATAAAAGTAGAGGGGGCTGGAGAGATGGCTCAGTGGTTAGAGCATTGCCTGCTCCTCCAAAGGTCCTGAGTTCAATTCCCAGCAACCACATGGTGGCTCACAGCCATCTGTAATGAGAACTGGTGCTCTCTTCTGGTCTGCAGGCATACACACAGACAGAATATTGTATACATAATAAATAAATATTTTAAAAAATAAATAAATAATAAAAGTAGAATGGAAGCAGGATATGATGACTCACACCGATAGTCCCAGCACTCCAGAGGTGGAGGCAAAGGATCAGGAGTTCAAGTTCTGTATCCTATGATACAGAATAAGCTAGAGGCCAGCATGGGTGACATGAGGCCCTGACTCAGAAAAACAATTTTTTAAATAAAAATAAAATGGAAACTAAGTAGTGGCTTAGGTAGTAATCTCGGCACTTGGGAGGTTGATATGGTCATCCTGTGCAACATAGTCAATTGCAGACTAGGCTGCACTACACAACATGAGACCCTGCATAGGTAGAGAGATTAGATAGATATGTAGATAGATAGATAGATAGATAGATAGATAGATAGATAGATAGATAGATACATACATACATACATACATACATACATATACATAGATACATAGATAGATAGATACATAGATAGATACAGAGGTAGGTACATAGGTAAGTAGAAAAATAGATACAGAGACAGATGGATGGATGGATGGATGGATGGATGGATGGATGGATGGGATGGATGGACGGACGGACAGGTGGGCAGGCAGGCAAACAGATGGGTGGACGAACAAACACAACCAAGCAAACATTTTTAAAAGTAAAATGGAAAGCCAGTGTGGTAGCACATGTCTTCAAGCCCAGAACTTGGGAAGCAAAGGCAAGTGGATTTCTGTGAATTTGAGGGCAGCCTGGTCTACATAGTGAGCTCCAGGACAGCCAGGACTACACAGAGAGACCCTGTTTCAAGAAACCAAAATATAAAATAGCAGCCACTTTGTAGTGACACCCACTTATAATCCCAGAACACCAGAGGTAGAGAGAAGAGGATGGAAGGTACAAGGCCAGCCAGAAATATATAGTGAGACTATCTCAGAAAAAATAATTTAGTAAGACACAAAATGAATAGACAAGGCATGGGGGTACACTCAGGAGGCAGAGGCAGGTAAGTTTCTGTAAGTTCTGGGCCAACTAGGGCTACATCTCTAAGAATTAATAATAATCATTTCTGAACAAAATAAATAGACATGAATGGGGCGAGATTTGTGGGGAGGAAATGGGAAGCAACAGGGGGAGGAAGTAGGGTGCAAGTGCTCTGTTGTATGTATTGCAGACATGTGCAAAATTGTCCAAAAATAAGTTTAATAATAAAAATACAAAAGAATTTTGAAAAGGAGAAAATGAAATTTAAAGCTTAAGCCTCTCAATCACTATTCTCTCCCAAATCCACCCAGGCCTCAATGGACAAGAGTTCTTGCTGCATTGTAGCCACCAGCGCGCAGGGCAGCGTTCTCCCAGCCTGGTCCGGACCCCGGGAGGCTTCCGACAGCCTGTTTGCAGTGCGGAGGCACCTCTGGGGAAGCCATGGAAATGGCACCTTTCCAGGTCAGTGTACTCTGCACCCTGTCTGTTGACCCCATTGGTGTCAGGGGAGCACAAAGGAGCTCCCCATCCCCCTCACACCCCCACCAGCATCTGGGAGGAAAATGCACCTGATAAATTAGGCCGAGAATCCTTCAATGGTTACAAATGCATAGCTCCAGCCCTGTGTCTTTTGGGGACTGGAGCCATGCCTCACCTTGGCATGTGCTACTTCATTTGGTCATCATGAGGGAGGGACCTAGTTAATTCCAAAGAACCCTCCCTTCTTCCTCGCCTCAAGGGGAAGCAAGTGGATTCATCCAACCAATCCATTCCCACCTGCCAGGCCTGGGCTGTGGACTTACCGGGCAGGCACTCCGCAAACAGTACCTGTGTGTGATCACAGACACCCCCTCCACCCTTGGTGCTAATGGCAGGGTTTCAGGTCTTGGACTCAGTGTGGAGACAAAGGTAGGGCAAGGTGTGAGGAGCTCACGGGGCCTGATCTATTCCAAACCCTCGACAGAGTTCTTCCACAACATGGACTATTTCAAGTTCCATAACATGAGGCCCCCTTTCACCTACGCCACCCTCATCCGATGGGTAAGCAGGGCAGCCTAGACCTCGCAGCGGGGGGTGGGGGTACTTGTCTCCTGTGCACCCAGAGTGGATCCTGCGTTAACAAACTTCAGCTCTGAGAAGCTCAAAGATGTGATCCTTCTTGATAGCTTCACCCCAGATCTATCCCTGAACCAAAAACTACCACAAGCCAGGCCAGTGCAAGCCAAATTGTGACACTAGAGACTATCCTTTCCTTTTCCCACCCCATTACTAACTTCACCCTTGCCCCCATGCCTCATCCCATTCCCTCTCCCTCCCCTCCCGTGACCCACAACTACACACCTATCCCAGGCAGAGAGGCTCCCCTCACCTCAGGCACAGTTCTGAGGAAGCCTGCTCATTCCACCTGACTCCAACTTCCAGGCCATCCTGGAAGCTCCAGAGAAGCAGAGAACACTCAATGAAATCTACCACTGGTTCACACGCATGTTTGCCTACTTCCGAAACCACCCGGCCACCTGGAAGGTGAGCACCTCCATACAGTGGGGGCTGGGACGGCTCCAAGGGTGGGTGACCTTGGGCAACACACAGGGGAAAGGGACAGGTCAGTGTTGAGGTCTGCTGAACTCACTGCCTGACTATCCACCCCATCCCTGCCTGGGGTCCTGACCCCCCTTTCCACAGAACGCCATCCGCCACAACCTGAGCTTGCACAAGTGCTTTGTGCGCGTGGAAAGCGAGAAGGGAGCGGTGTGGACCGTAGATGAGTTTGAGTTTCGCAAGAAGAGGAGCCAACGCCCCAGCAAGTGCTCCAATCCTTGTCCTTGACCTCAAAACCAAGAAAAGAAAGATGGACAGGGGCCAAAACATAAACCGGAGGCTGTGGAGGCAAGGAGGCAAGTCCTGGACATATCTACAGAGACCAGGCAATGATGTTTCCGCCATCTTGCCTGCCAAGGCCTCTGCTCCCTATCTAGCTACCCTCCTGGATTATATCTTCCGCCTTAAGGCTGAGGGATACCAATCCCAGCCCGGCCCCTACCCCGACCTAGCCCCAAGACAGGCTTTCCAGCCAAAAAGCCCTCAGACCCAGCTATACATACAGCCTGCCTTGGCCACTCCCAAGTGGAAAAATGACACAGACATGGTCATAAGACTGTCTCCTGGACTCAACCCAAACCCTAAAACACAAAGAGCCTGCCTTGGTACATTCGCCTGCCCTCAAAGTTGCATAGTCCTGCAGTCTCACGTGACTGCAGCCCTACTGACTCATACAGCCACATCGGGAACCATGGGCACTAACTGTCACACATAGGTACATATGAAGACCCTTGCACAACAGCAGCACCGGAACCTTCAGGATTGTATCCCAGAAAACCACACAGGCATAACTAGTAATACACAGTCTTATGCCATGCCCCAACATATCAAGTCACAGCTTGTCAGAACTCACACATGTACACACATGCAGCCCCCTTCACTGTATCTCCTGAGTTCCATGAATACACACTGACTCATCAAAATCTACCCCATGTCTCACTTGCCACTGACCCCAGTCCTCTACCCCAAGCCCCAATCCATGCCTCAGCGTGGACCACAGAAGAACTTCTCTTTTATTTGGGATAGAAGGCCCTTGGCCCCCAGTGCCCATCTAATAAACTGTGGCCAAGCTAGACAATCACCCTGATCAAAGATGGGACCCGATAAGCAGGCATCTGGGTTTAAGATCCCAGCAGGAGAACGCGAAGGCTGAACGGAAGGAAGTGCTAGAACCAGTGCTTGGGCACTGCCTCCAGCACCCCCAAATTCCTGCCTGTGGCGAGGAGACCTCCATCAGGCCTCTAGGCCTCCCGGACCCGGGCCAAGAGGCCAGCATTCTCCTGGCGAAGGGCTCGGTAGTCCTCACAGATCTTCTCCAGGTTGCTCAGAGTCTTCTTGCCCATCTCTGTCTCGATCTAAGACAACACAATGCACACATCTTCAGTATGCAGGGCCCATTTCCCAGCCCCTGCTGGCTACCCCTCTACTGCGTTACTCTCTGCTCCCCCCATCCCTGCAACAGTAGCCGGTCCCTTCCCATCATCAGACTTCTGTGGATGTCCTTCCCATCACCCAAAGTCACAGTTTCTACCATGGGTTCTAGGAGCTAGGCATGAGGAACCTCAAGCTAGAAGCCAGGGCTCAGAGTAGACGACTGGCTAGCTCCAGGTCCCAGATACAACAGGCCCCATGGCTGAGCCTCTAGCTCTCAGTTGTCTGGTTTCACAGACTCTTAGTGTAAAGCAAGGAACTATCGCCTGGTCTGCCTCCATTCCCCTTCCTAGTCCCAGATCTCACCTGCTCCTCAAGGTCTCGAACTTCCCTCATGATGGTGCCTGTGTCCTCAATGGTCTGGATGAGCTGGCTGCAATTCTGGAGACAATAAGAATGCAAGGCTTGCTTGTGCCTGTGCTAGCCCTCCACAGCCAGTCCACCAGACACATGGCTCCCCTCACCTCATGCAGGGCAGCTAGATATTTGTAAGCCTTCCGGACAGCGTCATCCTTCTTAGCGTCCTGAAAAGACAGAAGGGACCGCAAACGTGTCAGCAAACCGTTCCCACTTGTCCATGACGCCAGCCCCGTCTAGACCCACTCTTTCCTACCACTTTGCCTTCACCCCTCCTGAGAGAAAAGCTAGGCCCAAGCAATAGGCAACAGCCCAGTCCCGCCCTCCCCCTCCCCACCCGCTCCATACCTTGAACACAAGCTCATCAGTCACTGCAAATGTCCTGTCCAGCTTCCCAGAGAGAGAGTTGATTTCCTTCTGAAGTTCCTTTGTGTCCGATAAGATCTGGCAGAAATCAGGGCAGCCATCAGTCCATGTCTGGGGCACGGTGGCTGGCTAGCGATGGTACTCATGCGCCTGCACTTACATCCAGTCAGGGCCTGCATCACTGTGTTGGGGTGTCTGGGGTATACTGTATGTGCCTCTTATGTGCTGGAGTGTTACCTGAGCAGCTCTGCCTACCAGAGACCATAAAGTCCCTGTGTAACTACCCTACACCTGTCTGCCCACGTGATCCGTGATCCACCCATCAGAGCCATAGTGGCACACCTTAGTGATTTCTTCTTTCTGCTTCCGGATGTTGCCCACAATCTCCAGGATGCGCTGGGTATAGGCCAGCCGGGACACATCTTTTGGTAAAGTCTCCAGCTCTGACACCTAGACAGGAACATGGCAGGCATGAGCCCAAGCCCCACACTCCACCCCCAGTTACAGCCCAGGGCCCTAAAATCGGCCTTACCAGCTGCTTATAGACCTCCTCCTTCCTGCGAGCCTCTTCTGCAGCTGCGCGAACACTCTGGTGTAGCTCCTGAATTTCTGCCAACCTTCGAGATGATTCCAGCTACCAGGAACCCATAGACAGAAGGCAATGAGCAGAGCTCAGAAACAGCCCCCAGTGGAGGCAGTACATCTCCGTCCACAGCCCAGGACTCCACCACCTACCTCCCTACAATCCTGGAGTTTTCGGAGGTGCCGGTACTCAGCAAGAAGCGGGACCCGATGTTTTTCCCACTGACTCGCTAGATGAATGACCCGCTGGGCACTACTCTCCACCACAAGCTGGCCGGAGTCAGGGAAATATGTCAAAACAGGCTAGATCCAACCACCCCACCGCTCTCGGCCCAACCCCAATCCCAGCCCACCTGCAGCTTGGCGAGGTTGGCAGCCCCATCAGGCAGCAATTCCACCGCCCGACTCTTCAAGCGTAGGGCCTGCTCCTGCTCAGCCACGCTGAGTTCGCTTTGTCGACACTCGGTCTCCACCTGGTATACTCACAGCCAAGCTCCCAGTCATATATACAGCTCATAATCCTAGTGAGCCCATTATGGCCCTGGCCCAGCTCAAGGCCTCAAAGATCACTCCATGGCCTCTATCTACTACAGACCTCAGGATCTTCAGCTCCATACTGACAGCCAGAAGCCCTGAGAAGCCCTGCAAGCCCCTGCTCATACAGACCCATCTTACTCCACTGATGCCCATAGCTGCTATGCCCCCCTGCAAAGCCTGACTGGTGCCCAAATGTGCCTCTAACCCCTATAGGTCCACCAAGCCATTAATTAAACATATTTCTTGGCCCCACAAATTCTCCTAGACCTTCAAGAATATTAGAGATCCTTAATATCCTCCATTAATAAGCCTGGCATCTACAGACCTTTTCAGATCAGCTCTCAAGGCCCTAGTTCTGACCTGATCCAGCCCAGGTCATTCTCCCAGCCCCTTACCTGCATAAGGTTGATTCCCAGGGTCTTCATGTCAGCTTCGACCTCCTCAATGTTGTGGTTCACACTCGCCAGCTGCTCCCGAAGGGACTCTAACTCCTGCTCTTGAGCTGCCCGTATGTCCTGGGAAGCATAGGCCAGTCTAGGTGGAGCCATCAAGTCCAGAAGACAGGCAATAGCCTGGCTGACCCCTCTCTCTCTCTTTCTCTTTCTCTCCCCTTACCTGTTCAGGCCTCTGGGAGGTAGCTGGTACATCTGGTACCTGGGGGGCCTGGACCTGGGGCTCCTATGGATAGAAGTAGCAGCCTGGTTGTTAGTCACACAAGGTCCCAGCCTTCACAGCTCCGCCTCAAACCCCAAAGCACCCCCAAACACTGTACCCATGTCTGCTCAACCAGTGACAGTTTTCAGACTGTGACTACAGGAGAATAAAACACCATTTGTAACTGCAGATTAGAGTGGCTGACCACAAGGAAACCTTCCTGAGGCTAACCCTGACCACCCCAACCCTGTAACCAGCCCAACCTGTAACCACCCCGACCCTGTAACCACCCCAACCCTATAACCACCCCAACCCTTTAACCACCCCGACCCTATAACTACCCCCAACTCCGTAACCATCCCGACCCTGTAACTACCCTGACCAAAATGTCCATGAGAAAAGCAGGCATTCCTCTGAGTGGGTGTCCAAGGAAAAAAAGATGTTCCCAAAGGAAATATGTTTCCCAAAGGAAAGATGGGATCTGTTCTGGGAGCACTGCACACCCCTTACAAGTCCCACCACCTGTCTGCCCTTTCTCCACTCAAGTCCCAAGAAGCTAGGGGAGCCCTCTGGGCACTGCCTCCCAGTTGGAAGGCCTACTCAGTGGGCACGGGGAAGCTGTATGGAATATGGTGGTGTTAATACGGAAAGCAGCGCTCAAGGCAGCCATCAGCACACTCCCTGTCCACTCTGGCCTACCTACCAGATGAAAGGTAAACTTCTCGGAATGGGTGAAGCGGGAGCCTTTGGGGGCGCTAGTCGTAGTCCTAGCATCCCACGCCTGTAGCATCTCTCCTAGGTCTCGGACTTGTGGCGAGGCTCCAACTGGGCCCCAGCTCTGACGCAGATGTTCAGCCAGCTGCTTGTGCAGTCGCTGCTGTGCAGCCCGGGAATCCTCCTGGAAAGAACAGACAGGGGAAGAGGAAGGCATAGGGGCCTGCTGCTCCCTTGGACCCTGCCTTCTCACCAAGGCAGCTCCCTGCCCTTCTGGCCTAGGAGCTCCCCAAGGACAGAGAGGTGCCTTTCTCCACAGTGGGTACCATTTCTCTACCCACTCACTCCTCACACTGCAGAATGTAAGAAGAGAGAAAAGTGAACCTGGGGCTTTGAGATCAGAAGGAGACGGAAAGGATGGTGGGCAGCAAAGACACAGAATGTAGAGTACCAGGTCAAAAAGGGTCAGAGTTCAAGACAGAGGGAGATAAGCAACGGAGAGAAGAACAGAAACCATTTCAGTGCTGAAGGGCATGAAGAAATCATTAATTTCACTCAGTATAAAAATGGCACAAGGGTTACATAAAAATGTTCTTGTGAGTAATGACTCATCATCTTGAGTACTTAGGAGTGGAAATTGTGTGGCAGTTTGGGTTGACTAGGATTTGCTCCTGAACATGGAACCCAGGGCCCTGTGAATGTCTGGAGAGTGTTCTACCATGGAGCTACATTCCAAGCTCTGAGATTTGCTTTAAAATACAGGGGAAAGTTAAAAGGAAATAGAAGACTAGAAGACAAGAATCATTAGAACAATCTGTCTATATTTATGCTTCAAAATTCCTGTTAATTTAAAGAAGAAATAGTATCTGGGTATGGTGGTACATGCTTGTAGTCCTAACACTCAGGAGACAGAGACAAGGAGATTGTAAATTGTGATGCCAGCTTAGGTTATATCGTGACACCCTGTCTCAAATCTCCCCTAAAACACCAGAAGATGGGGCAGGGAGAGAGAAAGTACAAGCAAACATGGTAACCAGGGTGGCAGGGATATAGATAGATAGATAGATAGATAGATAGATAGATAGATAGATAGATAGAAAGAAAGAGAGAGACAAAAGCAAAAATGGACAGGGAGGGTAGGGAGAGGAGACGCCTTTAATCCCAGCACTCGGGAGGCAGAGGCAGGCGGATCTCTGTGAGTTCGAGACCAGCCTGGTCTACAGAGCTAGTTCCAGGACAGGCACCAAAGCTACAGAGAAACCCTGTCTCGAAAAACCAAAAAAAAAAAAATGCAGCATACAAATGGGGAGACAGAAAGGATGAGAGAGGGGCAGGAAAACCACAGAACAAGAAAGACAGTAAGAGGAGGAGATGGTGCAGACACCCAGAGCCAGAAACCATGAGGATCAGTGACAAATGCAGAGGCAGAGACAGCTCAGGGACATGCCCCAGTCCCCACAGGGGATACTTCTAACAGTCCCAGTTAAAACTCCTGCGAGCTCGCTACCCCACTAGCCCATTTTTTCAGAACAGGAAAGCAAGCAAAGTGGAAGGCTTTGCTGCAGGTTCCGTCCTTCTTAGCCATTCTTTCAGGCAAGTGCACACAGAGGAGAAGCAAAGAAGAGAGGGACAGAGTGGGGACAATGAGATGTGGAGAACTAAGAGGAGCCACGGGAAGCAGAAGCTTTGGGAGGAGAGCTGAACAATGATGGTACCTGGGATGGGAGGCGATGTGTCCGGCACACTAGGTCTTCATCCCCTGGGCAATCCCTGCTCACATGCTGGCAAAGCTGGATGGCGTGATGTTCTAGGAGGGAGGCTGCCCTCCCCACAAGCTGGGGCACCTGTGTGGGGGCTGGTAGCAGCAGGGGACTCGCCTGGAACTCCCGTGGCTCTGAAGGCAGAAACAGTGCCAGTCAGCTTCCCCCTTCACCGCCCTACACCAATGCTCACACACTCCTCTCCCTTCCTCACTTAGATCCATACAGCTGCAGCCTCACCTCCTCTGGAACTCAGCTCAGGCAGAACCAACGTGCTGGAGTGGAATGACTGCCGGAGGGCTGAGCCCTGTGGAGAGAGCAGAGTCGGCCTCTAGGTTGAGGTACTAGTGAAGGGGGGGGGGGGGCAACAACCTGAGCAAGCGCATGAGGGCAAAGAAGGCAAGGAGGGCACAAGTCCAGATGGACAGGAGGTGGGGATCCCACCTGGAGGCGCTGCAGCTTGGGAGTTCGAAGGAGAGGTGGGACCCAGGGCAGGGCCAGCTGGTCCCGGATTTGGCTCCCAATGGCCCGAAGGAAAATAGCCGAGTCACCTATGGGGTGAGGGGTGGAGGTCGGGGGGATAGGGAAGGAGTGACATGCCACAAATCTGAAAGTACTGGGAAGCCAGCTGTAGCACCTGATTCCTTGCCTCCTAGTGCAGGTGGAGTCAACTAACATTCTTGCTCATCCAGCAGTTACTGAGCTTAAAGTAGGTAGGTACCAGTTACCACGTTAAACACCGCTTCAGGAGACAAAAGTGATAAGGTCCCCATCTTCATAGCGTCAGCAGGATAACAGAAAAGAAACTTCATGAATAGGACCATTAGGACCATCTATTCTAAGCAGGAGAGAGAAGGATTGCTAAAAAGGGGCTGGAATGTTCCAAAGAGCAGCCAGAGAAAGGCCTTGCTGAAGTAACAGAGCAGAAGGCACAAGAGTTGAGGGCGTATTTAATCTTTTGACATTCTGACGTGATATTATCATCTACAAAGATAAAGCACGCTCAAGAACAGAGCAGTTCAGTCACACCAAACAATCTCCTAACGTTTGAAGCGAGTTTAGTTTTGTGTTGCCTGATGTTCAGAGCTATTTTCAGCAGCGCATGCTCCGTGGGTGGGACTCACTTAGTAGGGAGTTGACTATGAAGAGATCTGAGGGAAGAATAATCTAGGGACCCAACACCCTGAGGCTAGACCGGGCCTGGCACATTTGGGAACACTAAGAACACCCATATATGATAAGAGCGGAGTGAGGAGCAGAGGTACAGGAGGGAAGCTGGGCAACTCATTTCCTACCTCATGCTACCTGCCTTGAATCCATCCGCTCTCTGACCTTGGATCTACCCATTCTCCCGAGGATACATCTAGCCCCTACCCTTCCTATCACTTCTCTTAGCCCCTATCACCCTGGGAACACAGTCCATTCAAGATCCCATACCTGCAGGCTGGTCTGCATCCTCAGAGGCATCGGTGGGGAGCCGCTCAGCCAAGAAGAGAAGCAGGTCTCGAAGGTCAGGCTCACTGGGATAGAGGAAGTTCTGATAGCCAAGCTCCAAGGGATAGCCCAGGTCCTGGGGGTTAGCAAGTATAGCCAGATGATGATACTGAGGGTAAAAAGCCAGGCCCTCATTTGCCAATCAAGGAGGAGCCTCCTGATCTGGGGGCCCTGGGACTACCACACCTGACTCTTTCAATTGCCATCACCCTCCCACTCCCCCCCCCCCACCTGCATCACCAAGGCATTCTGGCCACAAAGTCATCATACTCAGTATTATAAGATCAATAAAAGAGATTAAAGCTCATCGGGCTTGCTGACAATGGCTTAATCCCAGCACTTAGAAGGCAGAGGCAATAGGATCTGTGAGCTGGAGGCTAGCGTGGTCTACAGAGCAAGTTCCAGGACAGCCAGGGCTATACAGAGAAACCCTGTCTCCAGAAACAAAAACAAAGTTCAGCCTTGTTAACTATGACTCAAAATCCAAATGCCATAAAAGAACAAAGGATTTCTGCCCATGTGAAAAAAAAGAAATGACTTTAAAAAAATATAACTAACAAAGTCAAAAGAGCAATGACAGCTTAGGAAAACAATATCCATCGCCTTTGAGAAGAAAGTCATGAACCTATCTATTATATAAGTAGTGCCTAAAAATAAACAGAACTGATGATGTGGCTCAGAGTGCTTGCCTATGTGAGCAAGGCCCTAGGTTCCACCCCCAGTACCAACAAAATAATTCCCACCACCACCATCATCAATGACAACAGGCAAAAGATCAGCAAACACACAGCTCAGGAAGAAAGGACTCTCAAGAGTTCCAGAGAGGCTGGGCGGTGGTGGCGCACACCTTTAACCCCAGCACTCAGGAGGCAGAAGCAGGCGGATCAAGGCCAGCCTGGTCTACAGAGCAAGTTCCAGGACAAGCTCCAAAGCTACAGAGAAACCCTGTCTCGGAGAAAAAAAAAAAAAAGAGTTCCAAAAAGGTTCAAAGACAAAGCAAACTTCCTGGACTCACACCCAAGTTCTGCCTCTTACCAACTGTGTGACCATGGGTCAATACTTCTCTGTACTTCACATTTGTTATGTAAGAAGAAAATTATAGCAAGGGCTAAAGAGATGGCTCAGTGGTTAGGAGCACTAGCTGCTCTTCTGAAGGACCTGGGTTCTAGTCCCAGAATCCACATGGTGGCTCATGACCCTCTGTAACTCCAGTTCCAGGGGGAGGCTGGAGAACTGGCTCAGTGGTTAAGAACACTGGCTGCTCATCCAGAGGCCCTGGGTTTATTCCCAGCACCCACATGGCAGCTCACAGCTGTCCTTAACCCCAGTTCAAGACGTTCTAAGGCCCTTTCTGTCCTCCATGGCAAGTACATGATGTACAGACACATGCAGGCAAAATACCCATACACATAAAAATAGATAATCGCATTTTAGCCAGGCAGAGGTGGTGGCTCACGCCTTTATTCCCAGCACTTGGGAGGCAGAGGCAGGCGGATCTCTGTGAGTTCGAGGCCAGCCTGGTCTACAAGAGCTAGTTCCAGGACAGGCTCCAAAGCTACAGAGAAACCCTGTCTCAGAAAAAAAAAAAAAACAAAACAAAACAAAAAAAAAAAAAAAACTCCAGTTCCAGTGGAAGGCAATAGCTCCTTCTGACATCCACCAGTACCAGGCACACAAATGATGCATATATACACACATACATGTAGGCAAAGCACTCATATGCACAGAATGAAAAATCTAAAATCTAAATAAATAAAAAATTTCAATATCTTTTTAAAATGTATTTATTATGTATGTAGTATTCGGTCTGCATATATGCCTGCAGGCCAGAAGAGGGCACCAGATCTCATTAAAGATAATTGTGAGTCTCCATGTGATTGCTGGGAATTGAACTCAGGACCTCTAGAAGAGCAGCCAGTGAGTGCTCTTAACCACTGAGCCATCTCTCAAACCCTAAACATTCTTTTAAAAAATATTAAAAGGCCGGGAGGTGGTGGCGCACGCCTTTAATCCCAGCACTCGGGAGGCAGAGGCAGGCGGATCTCTGTGAGTTCGAGACCAGCCTGGTCTACAAGAGCTAGTTCTGGGACAGGCTCAAAGCTACAGAGAAACCCTGTCTCAAAAATCAAAAAAAAAAAAATTAAAAGTACTCATCTGGGACAACTGTCACGAGGTTTAAATGAGTTCTCATCATGCTATCGCAGTGCCTGGTGCAGAATATTGACTCAAAAACCACCATTATGATATGTATTCATGTATTCTGTCACAATAGAAGCTGTATTAGAGGATCATGGTCACACAAGAATAAAAAAAACAACTGGGGTCTAGCTACATAATTTAAAGCTTATAAAATCTGACATCTATGATCTAAGAGTTGTGACTGATAAGGAAACTCATTCCAGGAGTGAGCTGCTGTGATGGTTTGAACGAGAATAGCCCCATAGGCTCGCAGATTTGAATGCTTGGTCTCCAGGGAGCAGTGCTATTTAAAGGATTAGGTGTGGCCTTGTTAGAGGAAGTGTGTCACTGGCGGCGGGCTTTGAGGTTCCAGAAGCATGTGCCAACCAAGCCCAGAGTCCTTCTCTTCCTGTTGCCTTGGGATCCAGATGTAGAACTCTCAGCTACATCTGTCTGTGTGCCTCCATGCTCCCCACCATGAGAATAATGGACTAACCCTCTGAAACTGTAAGCCAGCCCCAATTAAATGCTTTTTTTAATAAGAGTGGCCATAGTCATGGTGTCTCTTCACAGCAATAGAGTGCTAAGTAGCCTTATACAGTGACAGAAGCCTAAAACACAGAGGTGTTTCAGGTATAGAAATGGATACCAAAAGCAAGGGACACAGAGAGGAAGACACCAAACACACAATGCTGAATTGGAGACCCTTTCTGATTGCTGCCGGCAAGCCATGGCTGCTGAACCAGACAATCACAGGTATCCCTTGACCACCAGGTTCCCCATACTGAAATTAACATGAGCAACAACATCCAGAGGCAGACAGCATTGAGAAGGGAACATCAGAGAAAGCCTCATCCCATCCACCACCTTGGTACTTCCCACTGAGCATACTATGTGCCCAGCAGAAGACATAGCTTCTCTCTTAAAAGGCCATCTTCCAGAGGCTGAGAGATGGCTCAGGGGTTAAGAGCATTGGCTGCTCTTCCAGAGGTCCTGAGTTTAGTTCCCAGCAACCACATGGTGGCTCACAACCATCTGTAGTGAGATCTGGTGCCTTCTGGCCTGCAGGGATACATGTAGACAGATGCTGTATATATAATTAATAAATAAACTTTTTTAAAAAAAAAAGCCATCTTCCAGAATGTGGCCCTGAACAGGGGCAAACTGATCACTTCATGAGGCAAAGAGCCCTAGACAGAAGAATGTGGAAACAGTTTGGCAAATCTGAGAGTGCTGACCTAACCAGGAAGAGCCAACAGGGGTACTGCTCAGACCAAAACTGCATAAGCACTGCCCAAGGTAAACAGCTGGATGACCCTGTCCCCTTTGGTCTACTGGGTACTCCACTGACCTGCCACCACAGACTTAGCAACGTACTATGTATGCTGGAAGTGTCTACATTCATTCCTTAAGCACAGGCTGCCGGGGATGCGTGTGGCCAGACTATGCTACCAACTCTTCCCCGAGCAATTTAGTTGTTGCTTTTGGAATGCTGGAGACTGAATCCAGGAAGTACACCCTCTAAAACTGAGCTACAGTTTGACACAGTTTAGCTTTCACATTCATTTTACACAGACAGAAACTAAAGATCAAAAGGTTAAAAGACAATGTTGCAAAGAAAGTTTGTTACAAATGAGTTACAAAAAAAGCAGAATTCTCAGCTCTTGGATACAGTTACTTTGAAACAGAGGGTGGGTGATTCATTGAAGCACTTTATTTGATCTAACAGAGCAGTGGTTTTGGAACTATAAGAGGCACAATACAATGTAACAGATGATGTTTTCCTAAAACAGAACACCTTTCTATGGGTAACCATCCCTTCCCCAGTTCTATGCCATGAAACAGCAGCTAATCAGCCCTATAGGAGGTTCATGTGATCTGGGCACAACTAATCAGAGCTTGGTTTGGAAGTATATAACGCAATCAAAGTCTTTCTTCAGCCCGGATACGTAGGTAAATGGATACAATGTAACACTGGGGTGAAATCTTGACTGGAAGCTTAAAAGGTGGGGGCTACAGCTAGTCCAGGGGTAAACCGGATCAGCTCATTTACTCCACACAACCTTTTAGCACCTTCATTTCAGAGATAAGGAAACAAGCTACGGCAGAGTTAGGGTCATACAGCCAGGATGAGTAGAGCTAAGTAGAGTCAGAACTAATCGCACGGTTTGGCTACACATGTGGCAGCTTTAACCATTAATGAATGGCAAGCCACAAAGAGGGAGAGAGAGGAAGGCAAGAGTGTCAAAGAACTTGGTGACTGTGAAAAGGGAATGAAGGTGGTGTGCATACTGGGAGGAGGGCACTCACCATGCAGGCCTGAGCCAGGCTCATGGCCAGGCGAAACCGGGCAGACATCGCTGGTGGCAGCAAGTGACTGAGGCCAGAGCCCACGTCAGGACTGATGACTCGAAGGCATCGGACCACGGCCTCTACTACCAGCTCAGTGGTGAAAGCTCGCAGAGTCTGCACTTCTGGAGGAACTGCCCTAAAGAGGAAAGCAGCAGGCTTGAGGAGGGGTTAGGGGGGAAAACAGCCTTCTAGAGAAGGAAGCGCTAGTACCCAGGGGCAGGGAAGAGCCTAGGTTTCAACAGACCCTGGGTGTCCGTGACTAGGACTTCTACTTGGTCCAGTCTCAGGGACTCTAGAGACGCTGAGCGCCAGTCCTGAAATGTAAGTTTCCTGGATCTCAGAGTGCAGGTGTCTTACACCCTCTACATATCAGGGTCCCAGCATATTAGTGTCCAAATCACACATTTCAGGTCTCAGTTCCCACGGTTCGAGTCTTATAAGGTGCCTGAGTCCTCTGGGCTTACCAAATGTCCAGGTCAAACGTTTGGGAGATCCGTGATGTTAAGGTGTAGGTGGGCTTAGGATCCTGTAAGTTGGGGCCCTTGGTTGCCAAGGTCTCGATTTTAAGGTTCCTGGGTAATGGGGTACTAGGTTTTGGAGTCCCGGATGTGAGCAATTGGAAGCGAGTGGGGCTGCATACTTACGTGCCCGCCTGGCGCAAAGAATGGATGAGGATTCGATCGGCCTCTTCCATGCTGGAGTCAGTTCTAACCCTGCTGGGGCTGGGTCCGGGACCGGATCAGAGAAAGTGGAGCAACGCTATAGCAACTGCTCTCCGCGCCCGCGGAGGACAGAGCATCACGTGCCGCGCAAAGAACATTGGGAAGTGTAGTTCTGCGAGTGAATGCTGCGCAAGCGAAATGCCTGGAGGCGTGGTATATTGCACACACTCAGAGCTGAGTACGCAATGGCTGCTGGAAGCTGTAGTTTTCCCATCTGAAGTTCTGCAGCCTCGTCCAAAGGAAAAAGGAATTGTGCTAGCAGCTGAGGGACAGGACAGAGAAATGCTTCATTTAAGGAAGCTTCATCTTCCAAATTATAAAAGCCTACAAGTGTACAAAATGACTCTTCCCCTCTGTGCTGCTTTCCTCATCTGTAAAATGAGAATTTTGATAATATCTACGTTCTATGGTCAAGATATAATTACTACTCCTAGGGAGGCAGCTCAAGATAAGGGCTCCTGCTACCAAATCTAACAGGCTGAATTCTGTCCCCGAGATCCACATGGTAGAAGGCGAGAAATGACTCCACAGAGTCTGAACTCCACATGTGCACTGTGATACATGTATGCCTGAGCGCGCACACAAACATGTAATAAATACATTTTAAATAAATAAACAAACCTAATTACTGGGCCAGTAAGATGGTTCATCACGTAAAGCCTCTTGCCACCAACCCTGGCAACCTGAGTGAGCTACCTAGGACCCACATGGCAGAGAAAGAATAGACCGCCTACAAATTGTCCTCTGACATCCGCACATGTGCAGCGGGGCCACTGTCAGGCACGCACAATAATGAAAGAAAAAACAAAGTTACTAAACCAGGTGCAGTGGAAAACGCCTGTAATCCCAGGACCTGGTTGAAGCAAAGGTTGGGCTATGCAGGGAGACTCCCTCAAAAAAGAAAGAGAGTGGGGGGAGGGAGAGAAAGAGCTGTCGGTCATGCAATCAATAAATGAATCATTTTAATATACTAATACATACATGTGCAATCCAGAGTATTAACACAACAATATCTATGCAACCATTACTTATTGAACAGCCCATTTTGTCTCCCCTGCTCAATAGTTCCAACTTTTGTTATAAATCACACACATATACACACACATCATGTACATGACTCAGTTTCTGAACAATACTTTGTTTTTTATTGTTGTGCTGTTTTGTCTTGGTTTGGTTGACAAAGTCTTGCAATGTAGTCCAGGCTGACCTCAAAACTGTAATGGTAGTACTCCTCTTTCTCCCAAGTTCTCGCATTAAAAGCTTGTACCACCACGCATGACTGTATTCTATTTTTAATTACTGTAGATTTATAATGAATCTTGATAACAGATATGGCAAGCCTTCCCATCTTGTTCTTTTTTTAAAAAAAAAAAGTGTTGGCTTTTCTTGGTTCTTTGTATCTCAAAAATGTCAATTCCAAAGAAAATTGTGCTGGAATTTTGTTTGGTATAGCCAAAGCAAAATGCCAAATGGATCACTTTGGGAAAATTTTACATCACCACTAAATGTTATATATTTCTCCATTTTGCATCCCTTTGATATTTACTATTTGACTCTTTTTTCATAGAGATAATAATGCTCATGTTAATTTTGTCCAATGTACTTAAAATTTTGTTATTGGAAAATTGCATCATTTTTTCTTATTTCAGCTTCTGTCTACTTAGTGCAGGTATCTATTTGGTAAACAGTTAACTGGAGCCTTTTCACTTGCCAGTCTCTGGCTTACAAATATCTCCCCTGTTCACCCTCCCAACTGACACTATCGTTCCCCGCCCTGTGACCTTAATCTCTCTAAGGCCGGAGGAGAAGAGGGGGACGGTGTCCAGATGGCCCTTACATCTCCAGAGAAGGATGTCAGAATCTGAAGGCGGGAAAGGTGAGAGCAGCCATCCACCCCTGAACACCCTTGGAGTCACCCCAGGCTCTGGCCCACCCTCACCCTCTCACCTCCCCACTGCTCACCTGGATCCTTCTCCTGGAGAGTCTCTGGGGAAATACAGTATCATCACTCTTTTCCTGTCCTAGCTACCCCTTAGAGCTTCTTTGTCACCTGCCATATAGGCACCACACCCTAGCCCATGTCCCCAGTACCCTCCCCAACCTCATTCATAGCTTCAGTTCCCAAATGAAAGCCTGACTCCATCCTGACACCAGCACTCAGTCCACTTCTAACTCCAATCCAGTAGCACTCTAAACCTTCATCTAAACCATCCTAACCAGAAGACAATGTCCTACCTCCAGCACAGGGGACCTTAGACTGCAAACCTCAAAATGGCTACAGACTTTATCATGAACTTGAAGGTCATCTAACCTCTAGATACCGGTACTGCTACTGACCGACTTTCCCTAGCTGCCCAGAAACAGCACAGACCCTTTTTCAAATTGTTATTAATTTATTTTTATAAGTGTATGTATGTCCCTGAGTTTATGTATGAGTGCCATGTGTGTGCAGTGCCAACTGAGGTGAGAAAGGGGCAACAGATCCCCTGGAACTGGAGTGACAGGGGACTGTGAGCTGCCAGGTGGGTGCTGGGAGCCAAACTTCCATCCGCTGGAAGAGCAGTGCTGTGCTCCTAACCACAGAGCCACCTCTTCGGGTTAAACAGACACAAAACCAATACAGAGCGAGAGCATGCAGCTGCCGCTATTGTAAACTGGGAAGGTCAGATTGTCAGAATGCTCGATTTGACCACTTCAGCAAATTACTAACGCTTGCATCTCAGGTTCCTCATTTTCAAAATAGTGATAATACTACATACTAGGCATTCTTATGAACAGGGAGCTCAATTTACTCCTCACAGGGCCCTTATAATGTAGTCAACCGTTATTATCTTCCTCAGTATACAGATAAGAAAACTGAGGTTCAAGGGTAATTCCATAATTTACTCAAGGCAATACACAACTTCTAAATAGTAGTCAGAATTTGAAACCAGACAGCTTATTAAGCTGGGGATCTTAACCAGGCCTTCTACCCCTTTCAGAAACCGAAACAAAGCCACAGAATCTTGAAACTGAGTGATGAAAACCCTAATGAAAAACGCAAATCCTACTCAAAATTTATTCCTCACTTTGATCCGAAGTCCAAGCCCAACTCATTCGAATACCCAGCTTCAACCCTAAATAAAATCTCAACCAAACTCCATCCTTGCCTTTATCAATAAGGTTAAGCCCACTTTGACCCAAAATCCAGCACTCCAGTTTGACCTTAAGTTGAAGTGCACAGCACAGTGACCATCCAGCCAAGTCTTAGCTTCATCCCTCAACAAAACTCGCTCCATCCTAAACTTAACTCCAACAGTGATTCTTAACCCTTAACCCATAACCCAAGCACGCTCCATAGTTTTGCATATTCTTCTCCCTTCAAACAGAGGGATAGAATTGAACAAGAAGTTGCTATGATTGTGGTATGCCATCCCTTCCCTGACTCTGTTTCTCCACACAGACACCACTACAGAGCCCAGCCCAGCCAATGGGACAGGCCCTGGTCCTGAATGGGGGCTGAGTCCTGGGCCTCCAGCTGTGGGGCCTGATACCAATGGGGCATCAGGCCTGGGGACCCCAAGAAGAAGGACCCAGCACAACAAACACAAGACTGTAGCAGTTGCCAGTGCCCAGCGGTCACCTCGAGCACTCTTCTGCCTCACCTTAACCAATCCCCTTCGTCGGTCCTGCATCAGCATTGTGGAATGGAAGTATCCTAGGCGACTCAGGGGTAAGAATGACCAGGTTGTAAAGAGTCAAGGATTAGATCAGGCCTAGAATGAAGGAGGACTGCAATTACCAGAGACCACGGATCAAATGTTGGGGCGGGGTAGACTGATTCCTGGGGTGGGCACAGAGCTCAGTGGTAGAGTATTTATTTAGTGTATTAGATACCCTGAGGGCAATCCCAATGCAGAGAAAAAGAGAGAGGGGTCAAGAACTGGAATAGAAAGGGTGTCCAGAGAAATGGCAGTCACCGGGATCAAGATCACTAAGCTGGCTATGCTTGCATATGCCTATAACCCCATAACTCGGGGAGCTGAGGTGGAACTAAAAATCCAAAGGCAGACTAGGCTACATAGCATGATCCTGCCCAGAGTCAGCACCGGGTGGAGAAGGCACCAAAGGAATATGCGGGGTTTCAACGTCACTCTTCCTGGGTCCTTAACTGTGTTCACCTGAGACCTTTTGACATTCTCATCCTCCTGACCATCTTTGCCAACTGCGTGGCCCTGGGTGTGTACATCCCCTTCCCTGAGGACGACTCCAACACTGCTAACCACAACTTGGTGAGGCCTACCCCATCCCCAACCTGACTGAAGTTTCCCTTAGAACCACAGCTTAAGCCACCCAGCCAGGCCCCACCCTCCTGGACCCACCTCACTCCACTCTTGGTTCTGGCAAAAGCAACCTTGTTAACCTTAACCTGCGCCCACACCCACCGGATCTGACTCTGGCCCCAAATAAGTCCCGACCTTCACGTCCCGTCCCCGGCTCCGCCCTCAGGAACAGGTAGAATACGTGTTCCTGGTGATTTTCACCGTGGAGACAGTGCTCAAGATCGTGGCCTATGGTCTGGTGCTCCATCCCAGCGCCTACATTCGCAATGGTTGGAACCTACTCGACTTCATCATCGTCGTGGTCGGGTGCGCGTCTGCAGGGGGAGGAGCACCCCACCCTAGTTCGCAATCCACTGAATTCTGGGGCTCAGGGAAGCGACTGCTTCAGACAGTCCCTGTTCTGCAGCTAAAATCAGGCGTATTAACATATGTAAAACCATTTGCGTTTCCAGTTACAGGGACTTGTATTTTTCTAAACGGAAAGGAGGGAAGGGGCGGGAGCCAAAAGGCTTGACTCTTCCCCCTCCCGGTTTCATGCTCCGCCATCAGGCTGTTCAGCGTGCTGCTGGAGCAAGGACCGGGACGGCCAGGTGATGCCCCACATACTGGAGGAAAGCCGGGAGGCTTCGATGTGAAGGCACTGCGGGCATTTAGGGTGCTGCGGCCACTGAGGCTGGTGTCTGGGGTACCGAGTAAGTGTATACGCCCCCTGAGCTGGAGGTGGGGCTCCCAGCTGAAGGCGAAAGCGCTAAGCCCGCCCCT